AAACGTAAGTGATAACGGTAGTGTTTTTTTTTTTTTGAATATCGAGCCACTAGCGCAAGCTGTAAATAACTGAAGACATAAGTTTCAAAGTAAACTGAGTACTGCGTTAAAGAGGGCACGATGTGTTGAGCCTCACGTAGTCAGGCCCCTTTGCATGGACTAAAATGGCCTCGAAAACGCTTACTTTGCATATGGATTTTCACAAAAGCTTACCTACACCAAAGGTGTCTTCTCAAGACTGGTATTACTCAAAAAAGCTCAGAACAAGCCTAATGGGTATATACTGCGCAAACCAGGAGGTTATACACTGTTTTATGTACGACGAGTCTATTGCTGGTGTAGGCCCAAATGAAGTGATCTCAATCTTGGACTATTTTCTCAAAAACTTCAGACGGAGCAAGGCCGAGACAGGTATGACCATCTTATAGTGTGGTGTGACAATTCTCCGGCTCAGTTTAAGCAAAACTTTCTATTTTTTTTTATATGGATTACCTGGTCACAAGAGGAGACTTCCTACGAACAGACTTAAAATTTTTGTTGAGGGCCACTCGTATAGTGTGTGCGATAGATATTTTGGAAACATTCAAAAAGTTTTTAACGCCCAAGAGAAAATTGAAACACCCAAAGACTGGGAAAACGTTCTAGTCAGCAGTGGTTTATCAAACGTCAAGGTCTATTGGGTAGGTCTGGACATGATAAAGGACTACAAGTCATTTTTAAAGTTAAAATACGTCAGTAGAAACGAAGATTTACAGCACGAGAAATTTGAGGTCAAAGAAATCGCGTGGATTAATGTTGGAATTGGGGAACAGCCTGATGACAGGGGCAATCTGAAAGTTGTAGATCATCCCGACTGCGCCTTCGTGCGTTTCACTATTGACCCAAAACAGCAACCCAGGCTAGTTTCGTACACAAAGAAAAGGCAAGCAACTCCACTGCGAATAGACCTACTGACCACACTGAGGCAGGAACTAAGGCCAATTCGTGAAGATGTAAAGCAGCAGTGTCTAAATCTAGCTAGAAAATATTTAAGTGAACGTGCCGAGCGTTTTTATGCTGCCCTACCATGTATCCAAGAGGGCAGCGAGATTGACGATTGAAGGTTATCATTATATACCTTTCACTTGAACATTAATCGTGTGTCCTAATTAGCTTCCTCTTTAACGCAGCACCTCAGTTTCCTTCGCCTTGCCTAGAACCTGGATTTTTCAAAGTTATCCTAAACAGGTTATTCTTTTTAATATATAAATGGTAGTTAGTACAGGTTAAGGCTATTTAGGTTCTTACATAGGTTATGTTCTGAATAAGAACCATACAATATAGCCAAGAGAATTTAGTGGTTCAACTTATTCCTCATATAAAATCTGCACACCAAATAAGTATTGACCTCATTGGCATTTGAACAGTCCAGTTAGAGCGATAATGCAGGTATGTCTTCAAAGAGGATTCTGAACAGTGACTGATCTAACTTTTGCCCAAGGGTACAGGCAAATTTTTTCAGAGATTTTAGAAACTAAGAAATTGTTTCAATTTCTAGACTAAACAGGTTCTTAAAATATAGGTTCTTAGGCAAGGGGTTTCACTGTATAGCACCATTTTATCATTCGCTAATAAATAAATCGTTGTTGTTGTTGAAAACTACTGTTTGCTGCTTGACCGTTCCGGTACGACAGTGAGTTAGAAAGCTACACTAGCCAATGGTTTGGATTCTGAGATAGGTACCTTTTTCTAAAATCAGACAGATATATATATATATATTGGGCTTGTGTACCCTTAACTTTTCAGTAATGTCACTGTTATTAATGCAAAGACTCTGCCAGTATGCAATGGATCAATATATTATTTTCAAACTGTTTATTGTTCTCAAATCGCATATCAAAAAGAGCTCTCAGTCATGGTGAAAAATTCCATAATCTGCCAAAAAAAATAGCAAATACTGCTGTTGTTTGGCTGTGAATCATTCTAATGTTGTCATGAATCTAATCAAAGTAAGTGTTTATTAAGCCAAATCTGCACAAGAGAAATGGAATTATTTGCTGCATCATAGACCTTTTGTTACTTCATATCATGACCCCCTAAAAATTCTGCATAATTTCGGGGTTTTTTCCTTACATGTACGTGTATGCTTTTTCAGTCTATCATCAGAAAGTTTGTAAATGAGACACTTATACCTGGCTTTCAGAGTTTGCCTTGTTGATTCTTATCTTTCTGATGCAAGTATGCAGATGTGGCTAAAGGTCAGACATACAGCTCGAACCCCCTAACCGTAACACCTTCAGTTGCGTCTGCTCCAATAAATATCCCTGTAACTTATTACATTACACGATGCCCTTTAAAAAAACTGGCACATGTCAATAATTTAATTGTCTACTAAATGCATCTGATTCAGTTTCCTTTTTTCCCAATGATACAGAGATCAGCACACTTGTTTAGCTATGGTTGTTCTAATTCTTCAAGGTAAAATTGGATCCCAAATTAGTGTTGCTCTAAACTGTAGTAATACAGTACTAATAATACCTTCTTTACATTTTATGTGATGAAATTGTTCACCGAGTAGTTTATATTCATTTATGGGCCTCAAATGGTGGCAGAACAAAATTAATAATAAATTGAAAGAATTAGCATAACAAGGTTAAGAATACCAACTGGCACGAGGCAAACCAACACTGGCTATTTACAAGAATGGCGAAGGAGTTAAGTTTGGGACTAATGAGAACAAATCCAGCCAATAACGCAACTTGAGATTAGTTTATCTCTCATTGCTTATACTAAAAAAGCTGTGCATTCAAGTAGAAAATCCATGTTATGGTGTGGTTACATGTGATGCCTTTAGAAAGAAAGGAACTCTTGGGGAAAGGAAACTTAGCCCAAACAAGCCACAGCCCAAAATAAAGATTTTTTTTCCCCACCATTTGAAATTGTAGTCGACTTTAACTGAATCCTTTTTTTACTTAATAAGACTGTGGTTCCCTTGTGTGGATTCCTATTCTGAGCTTTGTACATGGAACATTGACATCACTGTTGATAAAGACATGATTGCTGTAAGCTGCGGAGATCTTGTAGAGACGGTATGTCTGTTAGTTATTACAGTCAAGGCAGGTCAAGCGTACCCCCCAAAATTCTATTAACGAATTGATTATTTGAAAAAAGAATCCATTAGTTGTTGAATCTGAAATTTACATCTACCAGCGGATTCAACTTAAATTGAATAATAAATTCATTAATGGAATCTTGGGGGATTCGCTTGACCTGGCTTGACTGTACATAATGAATTCAGTGTCTTGACTTCTAGTTCCCATGGATACTGTAAGACCATAGTACCTTGGTTACTGGCAATTGATTTTGTGGGTCTATACCCATATAGATGTTGTAGAGACCTCCCTATCAAATCACAGAAAAAAGGACTTTAAACATTCAGTAACATGTAGACGAATATGTATCAGTTTTGTAAATGAACATTAAAATTTGTTGACTGGATGGTTTTACATGTACTCGTAATTAAGTTCCACTTTGCATGTTCTGTTGTAAAATAACATTAATTTGCAAAGATTTCACTTATGGAGTAGAGAAACTTTAAACATGTATTTTGTTTGTTTCAGGTTATCTAGAAATTTTAATAAAGTTCTGACTTTTTTAAAAAAAATATAGTCGTGTAATTTGCCAATTGAGAGCACAAAAATAAAATTCTACAAAATATTCAGACATGGCAAATTATATGTGTAAATCTTTGAAGATTTTAGTGTACATATTTGCCTTAAGGTAATCAATAACTGATTTGGTTGTCAATAATATACATGAAAAAATTTATTGAATCTGATTGGCTGGGAGCAATGCAGTTTTTAGTAAACAGTGCAAAAAGGAGGAAATATTCCATGCCAAAACAAGGAAATAAAATTAATGCAAATATCTCAGAGAATTGAGTACTGTGATTGGTTGATAAAAAATATATAAGAACCAATCAGTTGCCACATTCCTCATTGGTCCCTTTGAGGTTGTGTGTAAGACGGGGTTGGTTTGTGTTGAATTGCACTTTTGGACTGTTTTGGAAACAAATTTTGATCCAGTAACTGTAAAATTTTTCATGAGTACAGTATTAATTCAGGGTAATTTTGTTCAATTTCAAGCTTATTTACCCGCATTTGTTTGTTTCTAAAAAAGTTCAAATATGAAGGGTGAATGCAATTATTACATTCACCCTTCAGGCTAATGCAATTTTGATACTTTTTGAAAAACACACTTGTGTGGAGATAAATTTAAAATTGAACTGGAGGTCATATGATTGCCTACACCAATATAATTTTTCTATACAGGTATTTACTGCTGATGAAAAGAGGAAAACTTATCACTATACTCTAAGCATTCCTACATGTGCTCCTAATATTGCCTTAGCCGTTGGGTGAGTAACTTCATCACAGAGTTATAAAAGAGGCTGATGTGTCTTTACATGTATCAAAATTCAAGCAGTTATTAGGAACTGACACCAAATTTGGAAACATAACATAACCCCTCAAACAACAAAGAAGGTATAAATAACAAGGGAAATACAAAAGAAGGCACAGGTGGATAAACTTGAAGAAGATAAATATATGGAAAATGGATTGCAATTGTGGGTTTGAAAACTAAATATTAGCCTAACCGTTTTTGAAAGTTCGTTTTTGTTGATATTATGCTCATAAGGGATATTTGCTGGACAAGGAGTTGTAACATTAAGTTCCATACTGCATATGGACAGGCAAATAAAAATATTGACAAAATGAATTACACAGCCATAACACATCCCCTTAACAATTCAATACTGGCAGTTCTTTCATTGTCAGTGCTTGTACAAGGTTTGGGTAGAACTGAAGGTTTAAATTAAAGTATAACCACAGAACAGGCAAGAAAATTTGATTTAAAGCCTACTTATATTTTGATTTGAGTATCAAAATAGAATAACAGTTTTATGTTTGTAAATATAATAATATTTTAATGCCTTTATTTGGTACTGGTAACAATGATAATTACACTGTACATGTATGTCAACTGCCATTTTTTCATCTTTCAAGGACATACAGCTGAAAACCAATGCCAACCTGATAATCTGGCAATATTCTTATTAAGTTCATCATTTGTAATTTACTAAGAAATAATTATGATGTGTAATGTAGCTAACATTTATTCCTCTTACACAGACCATTTGAGATTCACGTAGACCCTGTGATGCCCGAAGTAACACACTTCTGTCTGCCTGGACTTCTTCCAGTTCTAAAGAATACTACCGCATTTCTTCATGAGGCATTTGAGTTTTACGAAGAATATCTCAGCTGCCGCTATCCATATACCTACTACAAGCAAGTATTTGTTGACCAAGCTTATGACGTCCTGTCACCATATGCATCCATGACAATTTTTAAGTAAGTCTGATGTCAGTACAGAGGTTATGTCTCTTTTTCTTTTCTTTTTTTTTATTTTTTAGTTGTGAATTGTCTACTTGCATATGATGCTCTACAATGAATTTTTCCTTTTTGATCTTTGCAGTTCAATGTTCACTTATTGTGTCTGTATATGTGGTTTTGTTGATGAGTGCATGGTTGTAATATTTATTTTATTCCAGTACAAGCCTACTTCACTCTTCAAGGATCATTGACCAGGGGTTTGAGACCAGGAAATATTTATCCCAAGCATTGGCAGAGCAGTTTTTTGGATGTTACCTCTGTCTACAGACATGGTATCTTGTTACTTACAGATAATGTAGGGATTGCATGCTAAAGTATACTGTTCTTCAGGTGTGGATTAAATAATTGCTTGTCTGATGTACATGTAATCATGTATAATTAGGGTGATTAGTAGGCAGGCAAATCAAGCAGCTAGGATGTTCTTTTGCTTGTATTTTCCTTTGGTTTCATTTGAGGCTATAGGTGGGGTCATACTCACCTCATACTTGGTGCAGGGAAATTCCTGGCCCATGGTCCTTAGTGACAGGCTGTAATTGGTCAGCTAGGGTTAAAGTGCTGAAAGTGGTGGGTTAGGTTACAAGACAATTGTCAAGGTTTTTCAAAACTTCTTAGAATTATATCAGCTCTCTTTGACAGCAGGCAATGGCAACAGATTTTCTTGTGTAGTGGAATAGCTCGTTGTTGTGGTGTTTCTGTGAAGTGATCTGATATTAGGACTGTCAATATTACTTTTGTAAACAGGTCAGATTACTGGTTAGCAAGAGGAATATCAGGATACATGTTTGGTTTATTCATGAAAAAAATGCTCGGTAACAATGAGTACAGGAACTGGATGATCGAGGTCAGTATTCAATGAAGCTCACTGTGACTTTAGTGACAAAAACACTTCTTATGCAAGAACATGTGACAGTCCACTTCAGCAGTTTATGAACATTGTACCGACTTTGAGAATCAAATCAGACCACCTTAAGTAAAAACGTTGGGTTAAGGGGGTGCTGCTAAGCAAGAAACTACTGTAGTGTAGGCCCAACATTCAACATTGAACAGGGATGGAGGCCTTTATTTAAGACCTGTATGTGGTGCTTTGGAATGGTTACGTGATAGATGGTCACCCAAGACCATTAAATGGCTAAGATAGACACTGTAATAAAGAACTTAAGCAAAGATGTTTTTGAGCAACACAGGTGAGCTTGAAGTAGACTGTTTTCATGCTTGGACATTTTTTTAGCTAAGTCGAAAAGACACTTAGCAAAACAAATTTGGTAGCGCCAAGTTAAAAGGGAAAGCTTTACTTTGGGTTAACATACATCGCTCAAACTCGTTTTTGCCCAAGCTTTTTAATGTCAAAATGTTTTCCTCTTCAAAAATTTGGTTTATCAACGACGATAGCCTGTGTCACAGACGAAACTAAACCTCTGGATAAGTCCGTCTATGAGCCAGCGCCCAAATCCTTGTTCTGGGCCCCGCCTTTGTACCAGGATTTGCGTACGATATAATTAATCTTTTATTGACCATGTTTATTCGGTCAAGAAGGCTGGACATTGGCCTCGTTCTTTTCTGCGTTTTTATTGACCTCGAATAAAGAGGAGAAGTGTGACGTCATGTTACCATGGTAGCAAAATTTCTGGATCACAATAATGGGGAGCTCAAGCAACAACGACGGCGAGGGCAGCGAGAACGGCAAAAAAGGTATTGGGTTATATTAGCAAAACAATAACTTTGCAGGTGCATCACACTTTTTTGTACTTTCTTAGACGTCGTTAAAAGTCTGCGGCATGAAACTTTCTAATTTCACGTGCCCGCTTTATGGAGTTGGTGAAAACAGTACAAGAATTTTCTTTTTCTTCTCCGTAAGTCAGATACGGTCCTTTCGGATTCTACCTCAGACAATTTCGCCAAGATGTTACAAATTAAATGAAATTGAATAAGATCGATGACGTTTGAAACAGTGCGAATTCACTTTTTAAGTGACGTTTTCGCTTTGTTGTCATCACAGGTAGCCCAAGCTCGAAATATGAGCATCTTTTACGTAACATTGTTTGTATGGGGAAAAAAAACATCCAACCTACGAAAATTTTCAATAAAAACAGCTACCGTGACAAGGTTGTCATCCAGAAATTTTACTACCCTGACAACGTGACGTAACGGCTGTTCTCTATTTGTGTTGGTTCATCATTAACGCATATTTGCCATCTTTAGGAGTCCAAACAAGTTTGCCAGTATGAAATGCAAGGTCCCGGCATCCCACAGCTCTACAACTCTGGCTTGTTGTCCATGGCAACTGGCTCCTCTTCAAGCCAGGCACCAGAGTCCCCTTCTCAAGCGAGCCCTAATTTGCATCCTCATTTGACCTCAGGAAGGAACCTAGAGATAGTGTGGAGTAAATCACATCTTGTTATGCGAATGATTGAAATGCGCATTGGACAGGAACCTTTACTACAGGTAGGTGAGGTTTCTTGGCCGAATTTTAGGAGAATAGGAAATCATAATATGAAAAAAATGCTATCAACAGTTGGGAAATTCACAGCCTCTTGTCCTTCGTTGAGTGTGTTGTACTCTTCACAGACTATCTTAAGGCTACTAGCGAGCTTTAGCAACTGCAGCGAAAACGTCACACAAACAGTGAATTCGTGCTGCTTCAAACTTCTTCACGCTTATTCCATCTCGTTGAATATGTCAAATGTTAGCGAATTTTTCTGGAGTTGAATTTTAAAAGACTGTATCTAAGTTCAGAAAAAAGAAAAACCAAATCTTTTTCTCGTGTTCACGTCATTTTAAAATCGTGAGATTAGGAAATTTAACCTCGCCATTATCGTTTTTTAAAATTCCCTTGCAGGTATTTAATAAACTGTTGTCACTTGCAAACAGTGCAGCACAGCCAAAAGCAGACTTCAGTCTCTGGACCAACTTACTTCTCTCGACAAGTGGGGTAAGACATTGCGTTCAATTTGAAGTATTACTGTTAGCTTTTTAAAGCTCATTTCTTAAATTTCCATTGTCTTATCTACTTGATATGCTATTTTGTTTTGATAACAGTTTTTGAAGTCCATTTCCACGGTTTCCGGCAAGGATATCAATGTGTTTGTTGATCAGTGGATGTATCCTTTTACGTATAGTGGCAAAGAGTGATTATGATAATACACTGACTTAGTTTGGCTACATGTAGAAGGTTCCCAATGTGACTACTGATGACAACAATTTTTATGTAACATTCAGTAACAGGTTTAGTAATGCCGTCGATGAAAGAACAACAGCTCGCGTCCTCTTCGCATTGTTTATAAGGGACCTTAAAATCCGAGGACGGCGACGGCAGCGAAAAAGTCGCTGAGAAAGTGAATTTGCGTTCTTTCAATCTTCACCGCGATTACTCCAAGGTACTAACTTTGTCAAATGTATAGGTCAACCCTCCTGAAGTTGAATTCCCAAGGACCGTATCCAGATTCAGAGAGAGAGAGAGGAAATTTCGTCGTCGCTTGTGTACTTCCCCTGTAAAACTTGGAATTAGGCATTTTCACGTCGTAGTCGTTCAGCGACGGCAAAGAAATGTACAAAAAAGCGTGATGTACGTGGAAAATTGTTATTTTGGTTATTAAACCTATTGCTCTTTTGACGTCCTCGTTGCCGTCGCCGTCGTCGGATCTTAAGGTCCCTACTAACCGTAAGCTCGGACGTCAGCTCACTGAACAGCACCCTGCGAGCAAGGTCTCCCTTTCAAGACCAACGATGGGAGCCTCGAGAGATTGTGAAGGCAAGAGGCAAAGCTGTAAGGGGTGTAGTTAAGGCCCTCGCTCTCGCTCTCGCGCTCGCTTTTCCTTTAACTTGCCGTTCGCGTGCCACTTCTCGTGATATGCTTGTCACCAGGCCCGGGTTGCTCGAAGCATGGTTAGTGCTAACCAGCGTTAAATACCATGGAAACCTATACATTTTGATACCTGTTAACCAACGGTTAGCGCTAACCAGGCTTCGAGCAACCGGCCCCAGGGTAGCTCCCGCAGAACAGACCGGCGCTCTTGCAACTGAGCCCCTTCTGCTGAGATTACTGGGCGCCGCAGCGGTGATGACCAACATGTGGAAGATTCATCTGTAAGATGAACGTGAAATGATTACCGGATGTAAAAAGGTAATCAATTAATTCAAAAAAAATAATAGACTATTGTTCCTTAACCTTGTCGTAGTTGTCACAGTGGTGTGGCCAAATTCCATGGGAGTTTTGTTTTCAACAGAAAGCGTAACATTGTTGAACTTGAAATAAAGCAGGACATGTCTCGTGGGACAGCTAAATATGTGGTAAGAGCACATGCCCAAGCTTGGTTAATAAAATACTGCATCCTTAGAAAACCTAGTACAAGAATCGATTTGTAGAATTTGTATGGGAAAATTCACTGTCGCTTTTCAAACGATCTAATAATAATAGTTATTTATTTCATTCACTTCAACCTGTTGTAGTCGTTGAATTTTGAAGTGGCCGCTTGCGCCGATAAAGGAATTAAAGCTTGAAGCGTTCTACCGACTGATCACTCTCTTTTACCAATACACTACTACACCAAACTACCAAATAAACTGTCTTTCATAACTGACACGTTTACAATATTCATTGAAGGCTAACATAGCCGTTGCCAAACTTTTAACGTAAATCCAACCACGGCTTCAACTTCGTTGTTTATAACAGGAAGGATTATTACATTGTGGTTAGTGCGCGACCTTCTGTAAGGGAGGTTCCGTGTTCGATTCCCAGTTGTGACCTCAAATCCTTTCGATGTGCTCTTCTTTCCATTCCGTGTAGCTTTAAGTAGCTTTAAATGCCCGCAAAACAGAGCATCGATGGAAAGAGGGTGTAAAATGACATGAAAATGAGCTCACCGTCTGCCTTAGGTTTGTTAGGGCCTGTTTACATAAAGTTGGGGGACCCCAGATAGGTGAGGTAACATGTGGCGGGTCACCCCACCTATCATGTAAACGTAATCAAATTAAAATGAGAGATAATATGGACAGGCGGGTTACCCCACCTAAGCGGGCTACCTCACCTACCTGGGGTCCCCCAACTCCAAGTAAACAGACCCTTAGTCAAATGACTATTCTGAGCTGCTGACGTAAAAGAATGACTCTTTACCTTCTTTACCTTGGCCTTTAAAGACTATTTTGAAATGTACTTTGCCTTTATGCACACCCCGCGCGCGCCTCAACCTAATCCCCAATCTTCTCTCATCCCAAAAAACACTTAAATAGCGACTGGGTACGAGTCTGGCCTTTATGTATTACATACTCCATTACTGAAAAATTGGTTACTAATGATGGTATCACTTGTGTTCGAGAGATATAGGTCTCACTGATTATACCTACATGGGTGGCTAACTGCATAATGTTTACTTACACTGAGTGCTTACTGCATAATGTTTTACTTAATCTGCTTTCAGGGTCCCTTAACAGTCTGTGTACAGGAGCTGGATGGATCGTTTAATCACACCGTGCAGATTGAAGATGTCTACAGCCGCCATGAGCTTCCCTGTCATTCCAAGAGTCGTAGGTTAGTTAGCAATATAATGTAGTTTCATACTTGATGAATAAGGGTGGATTCACCTGCAGCATTCGCGTGTAACCATTGCATTTACTCACTGGAATTTCTTTTTGTTTTTAAGCCTAACAACAGTGGTAAGGTATCAGGGAATTGCCAAGGAGCAGTAGGCCATTTTCACGACGACGTCATTTGACTACAACTACCAGAATTCATCTCGTTGTAGGCTCGATTTCCGCCGTGTCCCGGGTCCGATCTTTGATCTTCCCGAAGAGCTCCCCGAAACTCTTTCGGGGGATGAGTGCGGGCTCATTTTCCCGAACAGCGACTGGTAATCGAGCCTAATCTCGTTGTTGCTTTGTTATTTAAGTTTGTCAATCCCCCTGAGTTGAAATAACGATAGTCCCAATAGCCAACAAGCGATATATTAAAATTCTAACATGACTCTGAGGCTTTAAGTCTCCGTCTCCGTTGTCTCACAATTCCCAGAAGAGACTTGAGCACAAAGAAAACCAAACCAAATATAGAAAAATGACCAGAAAGGTGGGCTTTTTGTACAAGAAAACAGCAAACTGAAGAGTTCTTGTAGTTATGGTAAAATGACGTCATCGCGTGCAATTGACCTATTGCGACAGCTACGCGCGCATGTTGCATGTGAATAGACGAATTCCGATATAAAAAAATTGATACTTGGCTGCGAGGCGTGGGGGAATAAAACAAGGAAATCATCTTGAGGCTCAATAATGAGTAATACATTTCTTTTGTTTTATTCCCCCTAGCCTCAGAGCCAAGTATTAATTTTAATATATCGAAAATAGTCTATTCACCCTATACTCTTAATTATTATCTTGCCCAGTCTTAAACTGCTAATTGCTAATTTTGTGATCGTGTAGCTGATTGATCATAAAGCGATCGATTGGGCGTGACAATGTGTCATTTTTATTTTTTCAATAAATGGTGGCCTAAATCAAACGATGTTTGTTTCTCGAATTTTAAAAGGAATAAGAAAAAGAAGATTCCTCTAATGACGGGAGAAGAAGTGGATATTAACCTTGATGCAATGGAGTAAGTACCAACTACATTCGCCTTATTAAAACAAAACAGACCAGCCAAACAGAACTCGGCGGTGTAGCGAGTACGTTGAAAAGCGCGGGAAACTGTTAATCGGAACTTATTTAATACAGCTCAGATGTCTTGTTTTTTTAATCCCTATATAGAAATGTTGATTTTCATATTTCAAAACAATAAAATTGTTCCACAATAGCACGTCTCAAGTGTCCTGCGAACAGGTTAATGGAATCTGAAAGGAAGTGTTTTCATATCGAAAGGTTCCAACTCTCACAGGATCGGTTTGGGTTGACGTCATGTGAAAACGCTCTTCTTATTTGTATAAAGGACACTACGAACGGTAGACTATAAACTGGCTTTGGTCTCGCCGGGAAAAGGCCAACTTATGAATCCAATATTTGGGGATTAACTTCAAAACACTAATCAATTATATTTTGATGTTGCCACAGCTCTGATTCGCCAGTCTTGTGGGTTCGTATTGATCCTGAAGTGACATGGCTTCGGCATGTAACCTTTGAACAGCCTGACTACATGTGGCAGTACCAACTTAGACACGAAAGAGATGTTATTGCACAGTGCGAGGTACAATAATTTACTGAACCATTGTTAATAGTCTCGGCTCTTGCCGGGATAAAAACATACGTGAGATCCACGGTTCTATCATCCTCAGCCCTCTTGTACGCGTACAGTATAGAGAGATACCCATTGACTGCGAAAGATTAATCGACGTTTTTCCCTCAAAAAAGCCAAGAAGCTGCAAGAAGACTTATGTGGACCCACAGTGTAAACTGCTGGGTTTACCAGTAATTTTGACAGCCAATTACAGCTTTATTTATTCATTTAATTGACACCGACGCGTGGATTTTCTTCCTAGATCTGCTAATGTTGATTATGGCATTCTATTTCGGAAAATGTTCTATAAAAAATGTGCACTTGAACAGGGTCGAGTCAACGATAAATTTTGAAAGTTATTATTAACGTCAGACTTTGGCAAAAAAGTTGATATCAGGAAAATTGATGTTTTGAATCATTTTAAACACAACTATTTTGTGAAGTCTTGTATCGATGCACTAAATATTTATTTTGTTCTTTAGATGTCCGGATTGTATTTTAATTATTATAGCTATTGTTAACAGTCCTCATTAGGGCAGTGCTGTTAGTTTTTTTTATATGTGGTCAAAAGAACGTTTGTAATAGCAACGAACTCTGGCCGGAGACACGTGATATGACATTACAGAGCGAGTGGGTATTTTCCCAGCAGAGCAATTCTGTGACTTCCTGGGCGTAAACGAAAAAAAAAGGCTTGGTTACGCCCCTGATCGCTAAACTAAACAAACTAAGAAACTTGTTTCTTGATATCATAGGCTATTGCTGCACTGGAGAAATTTCCCACTCAGGCCACCAGACAGGCTCTAATAGACATCATCAACCAAAATGAGTGTTTCTTCAGAGTAAGGCTCCAGGCGTGTTTTTGCCTTGCTAAGGTGAGTGTGTCAGTAATGAAAAAAGAAAATGAGTTAACCTGGAAACAACAAAATTAATGTTAAGACTGTAATGATTTAGACTAAGAAGGAAACCGATGGCTGGTCTGGTATCGGCTTAAAAAGGCGTTTTTAAAAAATACCATAATACTCTTTGTTTTTCCTCTAAAACTTTGCATAAGCATTGCCTACAATTTCTCTCAGTGCGGAATTACAATTGCACGAAGAGAAGCTGAAAGCAATGCGTATACCAAATGTTGAAGCGAAAACAGAGAGTTTAGAGTTTTATGGTACTTTTGAATAAGGCCTGTAGACAAATTCCACAGATTTGTTACCCTACGAGTAGAGTTCATTTTCTCTCCTTAAAATCTTGATCGGGTGAGTGAGAAAAACGTGCGCCACGAAACGAGTGTATTCTCTAATCTGTTACGCATGCGCAAGGATTAAATCCACGTGCTGTAGCTCTGATTGGTTGAATGATTCCCCGCCTGCCAGTAAAACAGCACGACCAAGTCAATATATTCATTATTGTCTCGGTCTGGCCCCGGTTGCTCAAACGTTGGATAGTGCTATCCGCCAGATAAATCACTGTCCAGAGAAACTGTTTGTTATCCATTGGATAGAGATTTACTCAGTGGATAGCGTTATCCACCTTACGAACAACTGGGGCCTGTTGTGCGAAGTTTATTGCGTTATTGTGTAAGGGCTAGGGATCATTGTTGTGTTCTTTATGGCATAACTCGAGACTTGCTATTCACCTGGTACATCGTGCACCAGCCCCTAGACTACAGAATTGTCAACTGAATTTCGTTTAGCTTAAAAAATTTACCTCCTAAACTTTCCCTGATACATGTATTCTATTGCTGGTTTGCTCGTGACGTCACGGCGGCCATGTTGGAGGTCAAGAACAAAAGCCTCTTTCTTTTTGGGAACTAAAGTCCATTTTCATGTAAATTCTTCAAGAAAAATTCTATTGTATTGACCACCAACATGGCCCCCTTGTCACGTGGTTGCAAACCAAGAATTCCAGCAAATTATGTAGTTGTCTAAAATATTTGTAATTGCATTTGATATTTTTTATGTTCTGTACAATTGACACAGATTGCTACAGCTTGTGCGTCCAGCTGGAACGGTCACACAACCATGATCGGTATTTTCCGAAATATGTTTGGATCACAGTCCTGTCCACACATCGTCAAGTACAACGACTTCTCAAACTTCATCACCTACTTTATACAAAAGGTTTGTTTAACAGGGGCGTAGAAAAGATGAGACGTGTTAAAAGTTACTTTCAGTTTTGATGAAGACATTGCTGAAATGATTTAATTATACCAAACCCATGCGCAAGAGGTGAGCCCCATGCACCGTAAGACGCAAAAGATACAAATATTGACATTAGGGCCATTTATACGAGGAAAAATAAGACGCGTCTTAAATAAGACGCGAGCTGTACCATTTATACTAGCATGCCTTATCTAAGACGAGAACGGCTCGTATTAATGGTTTGCGTCTTATTTCTGTTCTTGACTCGTTTTCATGTGAATGTTGCCCGTAGCAACGGCAATCCAACGTCGCGCACCAAAAATTAACGCATGCGTACTATGCGTTCGCGTCTTATGGAAGACGCGAAGGTCATTTATACGAAGTTTTTCTCGTCTTAGCAAAGACGCGTCTTATCCAAGAACAGGTGTTAAGGTCTTATTTGTCCTCGTATAAATGGCCCTACTGTTGGTGGTGCTGGTGTCGGTAATATTGATGGTCATACATAGACACTGATATATTTAGATCTTGAAACTATGCCGAGGTCTTCCCCTTTTAAAAAATTATCAAGTAAAAATTCTTGCATTTGGTTGATCCACACTTTGTTAATAAATCATATTTTGTCCACGTAGACACTGCCTGTTGCTATCGCCACTGTTAGAAATGTGCATTCTCAGTGCCCACGCGAAGTGCTACAGTTCATCTTGGATTTAATCAAATACAATGACAACAGGCTTAATAAGGTATTGTTTATAAATATGCTGTATTCAATCCCCACCCCCCGCGCAACCCATGCCCAGCGACCTTTGTTAGAAATAATAACATTGTTCAAAACTAAACAACTACATTTGGCAAAGAAGTTTGCACTGCTAAGCGTAGTTGTCCCCTTTCCAGCTACAAACTAGAAAGAGAACTAAAGCAAATGTGGATAATTAGTTCTTTTTCTGTTTTTTTTTTTTTTTCAATACCTGGCTCAACGAACTCCACAAAATTTCCTAAAGCTACACCCACGAAGAACGTTGAAATGAACCCACGATTTCATTTGAACTATAGACAAAGAATCATACACTGAACGGGAAGAAAAAAGAACGTCGCGGCCATTATGGTTGATTGCAACGTCAATTAACTACTCTCATAACCTTTTAGTACACAGACAGTCATTATCGAAGCGCTCTCATTGACGCACTAGCCAATACTGTCACACCTGGTGTTTCCATGGTAACAACTAACAGGTATGTATTGGCTCAATGTTGGCTGAATCGTTATCATTGTCACCAGTATTTATCATTTTGAGGTCGAGTGGGAGACTGGGTCGGTATTGTGTCTAAATGCACTATGGGGCTGTTTTACATTTGTTATAACAAATCAGTTTGTCCGGGAAACTGGGTCAAGCCTCTGTTTCAAAGCGACGCGCTAAGTGCGAAATATGATTTTCTATTTTTGTGCAAGTAAAACTCATTTCCCCAAGAAAGGTTTTGCACTTAGACTCGTTTTGAAAGTGAGAGTTTTTGGAACTCGAAAATGGTCTATTCGTCCCACAGTCTAAAGTCTAAAAGTGTAGTTTTAACACAACACCGACGCAACCTTTGTACATTCTTCATGAGTTCGTCCACGCAATTCTCAAGATTCAACATTGACTCTTATCCTCACGCAGGGGCGGATCCAGGATTTTTTTAGGAGGGGGTGCACTCGTCTCTTGCTCTACTTCAACGCCAATAAACCACATAGGTTTTTTTTTTTGCACAATACCAGTTGTATTAGAAAACCGTAGGTCATCTTGGGGGGGGGGGGAAGCGCACCCCATGCACCCTCCCCCTAGATCCGCCCCTGTCACGTCTCAATATACTAACTTACAATGTCTGTTTATTATCAGTGAAGGCAAACCAGTGGTCAAATTAACAGAGGAAACTCAGCTCATCTTAGGTGAAGTTACTCGGCAGCTGAACTTAGAGAAGCTACTTCCTACCTACAGATATGTTCTGTCTGTAAGGTGAGTTTGGATCTGAGCCTTCCATCTACGGCGCGGCCATCAGCTTTTAAAAAAATTTTTAAAATTCTTGGTCAAAATGTCCCTTTGATGGTCGTCTTTTACACTGTGTCAACTTCTAAACCATCGGACCAAGTCTGATAGCGAGCTCCGGGCATTAAGGTATGGGACGATTTGTGACGACGATTGATTGATTGATTGATTGGTTGATTAATACAGTAGTTACATAAGTTACACAACTTCTTACGTGAAAGCCGTATTGAAATAGAGGTGAATACTGTAAATACCTTAGAAATCACTAAGTACAGACTATAAAATCTAGTCAACAGCTTGCTTGCCTACGGGCCAGTTTTCTTTTAAAAATAGCTTTGGATACGGATGCCTTTCAGGGTTATATCTAGAGTATTTGAGGGGTAGAAGCTTTCCCCCCAATATGCTCAGCTCCCCCAAATATATTGTTATCATCACAGTATATAAGTAACCATACTGGAAAAATCTTCTAGACGCGAGGAGGTCAGTGGACATGAAGTAAGTATTCCCTGTCGAAGGACACCACTATATGACAGGAAACATGATCACGACTAAAAAAACAATTAAAATACCACTGTAACATTTCTGAAAATTGTGTCTCAAAATGCAGCAGGTTGCATCTCAGCGCATATTCATTTCAAAACATTTCCGGGGGGGGCATGCCCCCGGATCCGTTAAGGAAGTTCGCGGCCACTCGGGACTTCTCCCCCAAGCGATAAATCCCAGATAGAACCCTGCCTTTATTTCGGTTGGTAATGAATTCCACAGCATTCCTCCTCTATATGAGAACGAACCTTCATAATGTTCTGTTTTTGGAACATGATCAGTGCAAGATTATATTCTGTGTTTCTTAGCTTACACTTATAAGGTTGTTCTCACATGCATTTGAGAAAAGATCCCTTAAGTAACTAGGCACATTCCGATTGACTGTATCATACATCAATACGCCTAAACGCCTTTGCCATATTGAAGCAAGCTCTTCCAGTCTAATTGTTTTCCATTTCTGCTAAACGCACGTCGTAACCTTAGAAAGCTATAATGCGTGCACGATTTTGCAATTTCTGGAGTTACGAACCGCCCCGCGTGATGTTACGGTCTTTAAAATTCTCTACGGAGAGGTGCTACTACGGCGACATGAGGACAAAATTACTTCCGGTGACGTCACAACCCGAGTTGTAGTACGGCTTTCCACCGGACGTGATTTTGACGACAGCGAATCAAGTCCCTATTTTCTTTACTTTCCTGTGGTGCTTTTAGCACGCTACAGGCACTGTGTGATTTTATATTAGGTCCAATTATATCGCGAACCACATCAAAGTTTTAACTTAAAAAAGAGCGGCGCTAAATTCGGCCTGATTCCAGACTAATAAAGGCCAAGCAGCCCAGGATTGGATCGTTCACCATTTGTTATTAAAAAAGGAAATCAAGAAAAATGGCAGGCTCGATTTCAGCCGATCTCTCAGGTCCGGTCCCTCGGGTTCGGTCTTGAGTGGGCTCATTTCTGGAACAGCGACTGGTAATGGAGCCTATAAAAATGATCATTTCGGTTTTACTTGTCTTTAGCAAAAAAACAAACTCGTCCAAACGTGCGCTTATTAAATAATTGTTGAATACCTGGTACTGCTAGGACCTAACCCTGTCTTCTTCCTTTTGACTAAGAGAAGCCATTGTAATATTTTCAGTTGTCTGAAGGCTCTAAGAGTGTTACAAGTAAACAGTCACGTGCCTCCTGACCCTGCTGCTTTCGAGTACTATGCCAGGTGAGTACTAACTTCTGAGCAGTTATCTGATTTAATAAACGTATTTAGTTGGCACTTTCGTGTTCGTACATACAATGTCCGTGGTAACGAGACTGGCTTGTCTCTGTCGCGGCCCTATCCTTCTTTGCTCTTACGCAGCGCGCGTGGTGACTTTACAAGATGTATTACCAAACGCTCACAACGTTAGTTTTGGTTGCTTGTGCAAAGTTATATTGAAAACTTGGTGATGGCGCTTTCTCTTCTCCGTCGTTTTCATTAACGATACCTGGCAAGTAGGATAGGGCGCACTGAATTATCCGTTTTTGCGTGGAAACTTCTTTTACATACGGGGGAATACATTAACTTTGATGACGTCATTGCCTTTTGTCTCTATCTCGTGAATAAAATGCAGGGGAATCTGGTTAAGATAAGGTCATGTGTTATTTTTAGGTGGACTAACCGGTTGGACAGTTTTTCTTGTTATTTCTTGGTCAACAATAAAACAAATACTTTAAGTGGAATATAACAAATCATGGTTAAGAATACCAACTGGTAGGAGGCGAACCAGTTGGCCATTTTGCAAGTGTGGCGGAGGATTTGAACGCGGGGCTACCGAGAACAAATCCAGCTGGCGGTCAGGACGGGACTTGAACTTGGGGCCTGAAAAGTAAAAGTCCCGTTTTTTAACAGCTCGGCCACGCTGTCTCCGCTGACTGCCCAACTCGACAAAACTTCTTATTTAGTTCAATTTCCACCACTATAAAAGCATTTTAAGGAAGCTCATGTTAGCGGCATGGTGTCTTTCAACGACTGTCGAGGGAAAACGAAGCCTAGTCCAAAGAATTTTTTGTGATGAAAGAATTAGTTGAACAACCCTTGTTTGATGGATGATCGGTTTTTTGCAAGTTATTTATTCTATTTATAGAAACTAATTGATTTTTCATTTTAGCTTTGGTCACTTTGAAGATGTACGTCTCGCAGCCATTGATTGCCTTGTTGACCTCACCAAAAGTAAGTGTTGGAATATTAAGCTTTTATTTCTGTTTTTATGTCGAATGCTTGTGTTTATTTGTGTATAGACACTGGTTTCTTGACGTTGTTGATGGGAAAAATTACTCCTTATTGAACTCCGATTGATTGTTTAAATTGTTTTATACATATTCGACTGGTTGAAACATTGAAACCAGTTACAAGTGAATATATGGGTTTTTCACCATGTACAAAACGTTTCCGGAAAATCTGGTGGCAAAATAAATAGAACACGACTTTTCAGGTCTTTTGAGTAGAAAATTTCCTGGAGCATCGGAACGGCGGAAACGTTAGTCCTGTTTTTCCGGTCAGAATTTTCCAAATAGAAATTCGGGATGTTCGCCACTTACAAAAAGTTTCCGGAAAATACGGTTAGAAAGTTAATGGAACACGACTTTTCGGTTCGTTTCAGCCGAACATCAAAGCCATCTTTGAGACAAGTTTCAAGCTTTCGTAGCCGTTTTTCGGTGAATGGAACCGATTTGTGCAAATGGTACACGCGATTCGGGGACGCCGAAATTTACCAGTCTTGAATTTTGCGTACTGTTTGCCCATACCGTGAAACGACCGGTTTTCCCACGTATTACATGGTAAACAACCATGTTCTTATTTGTTTTCAGCTGAAAACCTTGAGCGAGGAATGAACTACTTGATGGGATTAATTGAAAATGACCCTGTCCCTTTTATCAGGCAAGTTACTTTAGTCTAAACTTCTCCATTTTCACCTTATAAACGATTTTTATGAACTAGGCTTAACTTTATATAGAGAATGAAGCGGTTGTTGAGGGTCAAGAAGTAAAAAAAATGAACCAATGAGAACTCGAAGTGAAGATTTGTATCCGATGCTAAGCGCGGGAAAAATGATGTGATCAAGTCACGCTTGGTTTAAGTCTCAATTTTAATTGGTTGAGAAAAATGACGCGAGATTTTTCAGCTAATCACAGAGCGAACAATGCTATGAAAACATGGGCGCTTTTTATTCAACCAAAATCATTTTCCAAACTTGAAGTTTCCAAAAAAGGGGACAACTTCGCGAGGTATACCCAAATTTTCGAATTTTTTTTTCCCGGCAGTTTTCTTTCCATTCAACTTTGTTCCCGGAATTTCTAGAATTTTCGGTGGAATGGTTGGCATTTCGGAAATTTAACAGCTTTCGGAATTTCTGGAAACTTTTCCGGGAATTTTCTGTACCATTTGCCACTGTTTTCAAATTTTCGAAAGTTTTGGTTGGATGTAAAGCACTGCATATGAAGGAAATAAATGCGTAGGTAAAGCTCAAAATTATTTGTCTTTGCAGGCATTATACACTGTGTTCAGTAACAAAAAATCCTCCATTCTCAAAGAAGGCCGAATCCCGTCTAAACAGCTTAGATCTAGTGGAGTGCTTATGGAAGTTAATCAAGTAAGTTGTCATGTGTCTCATTTACTTTACTTGGATGTGTTACCTTTTCTCAACAGATTTACGAAAGTTAAATGCGGTCATGAAGAAAGATTTTAAAAAAAGTTGTAATTTCGGGCACCTTCGCTTTACTAGAAAGGACTGAATTTAACTCTCTTAATTTAGTTCTCAAACAAGTTTTCTTGTTGCATTGCCACAAGCCCTTTAATCGAGAGCTATACCCTTGTTACGCTTTTTTCGACTGTTTGGTTAAATACACTTTGAAGACGTAACGGGGTCTCGGAGGGTATCGGAGTGGGAGAACGAATTAAGGCGCACGAGAGACTCGCGCCCAGGGCGGATAAATTTATCCGCCCTGCTCGCGCCTGTGGGGTGCCACGCTGTCTGTTCTATGTAATGTGGTTAAAGGTTTAGGGCTACGAACAGCGATAAGCTTGTTTATTTTCTATAATATCTTTTGTTATTCTAGTTCCAGCTCCTCTGTTGACGCTCGTTTGAGACGAGATGGAGTGGAGTTGTATAATGCTTTATGGGGTCGCCTCACTCCCAGCTGTGTTCCTCCGCAAGGAGTAAGTGTGTGTTTTCCACTCTGTCTGAGAACCAGGTGGCAAAGTGCGAAGTATGATCATATTTTCAACATCACCATGAACAGCAGGACAAACCTAGGATTCAAAACAATTTTCGTTGGCTTGTTTTGATTTATTGTTTAATCCTAACTTTAAGCCAGTTTTAAGCCGGCATTGTTCGGGCGATATCAGCTTCGGCTTACTTTAAAAATATGTGGAGAAAATCCTGTGTGAGCGTTACGTAGCAGGCTCTTCGGTAGCTCAAGTATTTTGCAAACGTAATTAACGTTGGAATGTTGAATCTTTATTTCGCTCATTCTCGGACACTAACGGCGTAGCTGTAAGACGGGTGAGGGCTTACGGAAAACTTTATCCAGTTTTATAAAGTTCAGATACAATAGTTTTGTTCCCAATTTCTTGTTCGAGTCTGCAGTCACACATTATACGAGCAACTAAAACTACTATTGTCTGTTGTTCTTTTGTAGATGGGAATTGTAATCGATTTGAAGGAGCGCAAGATAATGAGCCTCTCTCCTCTTCCACCCCCTGCCTCTCCGGTGAGTGGAACAAACGTCATAGCGATGTACTTACCTTAAGTCGATTAAAAAGAGTTTGATGACGCTGAAATATGAATTGTAATTTAGACAAACTATTAACGATCTTTCTAGTTTGACTTTGCAAGTACGAAAGTGAAAAAATTTTAATCTTGGTGTTTTTGTTTGTGCCAGTCCGTTAGGACGGTTTTTACAGTAGAATAAGCCCTTTATTCAAGACCTTTTTGAACTCACTTTCTTCTGAGGCACTTTTAATGAAGATGTAGACCATTCCGAAACGTTCTTGTTTTTTGCCTCTCACAGTCAGCGGTGTGTTGACCAAGATGGACGTCTAGTTTCGAGCTCCCACTAACTTTGGCATTTTTTCAGTGTTTTTGACGGTTTTTATTCAGTGAACACGACTGTGAACATGTCTTAGTGAGCTTTGATTTGAACCGTTTACGCACTACTCTCCTCGAAAAGCTTCTCTACAACCAGTTACAAAAAGGGTTTGGGACATTGCATGAAATAATTCTCCCGTTGTTTAGTTAGCATTACAAGATCGTATTTAACAGGAGAGAGAAGATAAAACCTCTTGTGGTCGTAATAATTATTTCTCTGTTGCGTAAATATTGCATGTCAAGTATCTCATTTCTTGTAATTTGCCACAGGGGTCGGTTAGTGGTGAAGAATCTTCAACATCAAAAAAGAGCCACAAGAGAAAGCACTCTCGAGCGGCGTCACCTGCAGGCTAGTAATAAAATTCTTTCCAGCCTTTTTGTATACACTCTGTATCGTTTAGAAATGTAAGTAAGTTGGTAGTTATTCGCATAGCCGACGGAACGCTGAAGTTTCGGTCGATGTTAACATAACTTTATTATTTATATAGCGCAAAATACTTGGGTATATGGTCTAATGCGCTGTCGATTGACGATGCCGAGTTTTTTTTTTTTCTATTCGGCAGGGGCGTTTTTTTCTGAAAATGAGAGTCAATCTTTTTTTATATGAGTTGGAACTATAAAGCATCAACCTTAACCCTAAATAGAAGCTGGCCGTTTTTCGAGTCAGTTCTTAACCCTAATCAGTATTGATCAGTGCTTAACCCTTATCACTATTCTTAGGGCTTAACCTTAATCAGTATTGATAGTCAATGCAGCCATTGCCGAGAATTATGAAGATGAGTATTAACCAATCTTCGCATGGTTTGCTCTCAGTTTGGCATGAAACAGAAGAGAACGCAAATTCCCCAACACTACCTTGCTCGCTTGCTGAAAAATTACCCGAGACCATTGTGCGCGCCTAGTTTCATCAAATCGGGAACGCTTCGCATACTATAAACACTTATTTTCTTATTTTCGTACTTTTTTTTCAATTCATTACATATATACACGCGGGGAATTCTATGATGCCTCGTCGGGTTTTAGTCTGTGGGCCAAAACCCTGCGAGGGCTATTGAGCATGTGCTTTCATTTTCTCTCTCTGTATTTTTACCTTTTTTGATTTTATTTTATTTTTTCGCTTGTTATACTAAACCTTTGGAATCCGGGAGAGCTGACTGTCTTAAAGCCGCGCGGTTGTTCTTCGCTTACCCAGGCCTTCTCTGTCAATGCATTTCGGTGACGTATCCGAGGCGAACTTGCGAGAAAATTCTTCGCGCGGAACACGTGGCCCGAAACGCATTGACCACGCAGGATAATGAGGCCCAGGGGCTAGGCAACGCTTACCTCGTACACACGCCCATTATAGTGAGCTCAATTTTAGTATTAATTTTTTTTCCGGGCACAGACCTTAGTCATTTGGATTCTCAACCGGGAACGCCAATGAGTGTCGAGTCAGCGAATTCTGAAGCCAGCAAAGTTCGCCTCAAAATTAAGGTAAGATTCGCCGCTTGCTCTTTCTTCTATCTTGTAACAATATTTTGTTCCATGTTTGTAGGTTTGAGTTTGAATAGGCATCTTCTAAATGGTTTCGACAACAGCTATGTGTTTGAATAGCTGTCGATGGTCGAGTTTCTTCCATGTCTCTCATTTACATAGATTCTTTGGGTCGATTATTTAAACGAAGTCTATCTTAAGCAGCGGTTTAACAAATCTCTGGACCCCCAGATCTCTACCTTAGTGGGTTATTTTATGCTTTTCTAGTCTACACCATATGCTTTCATAAAACTTTTCACAATAAATGGTGTTTAGGTAAAACCGTTGGGCAAACTGAAAATGGCGTAGAACGCGGTTTTGTTAAACATTGGCTAAACTACGTTTAAATAACTGGCTCTTTAGGTTTTACTTGAAACAGTCCAGAGTCTTTGTGGGGAAATAGAGTTGACTGTATATGAACTGAATCTTAGATTTCTTGTTATTCACTTTAGATTGGCGGTGAAGAGAGTGGTGCGGAAAGTGGAGGCGAAGTTCGAATAAAACCCGACCCCGATGGCGGCTCCATCGAGCGTAAAAAACACAAGAAAAAGAAAAAGAAGAATAAACACAAAGATGACCGCGAGAAAAGGAAACTGAGTACGAGTAGCAGCAATTATGACTCACCGCTCATGTTCGACACCAGTCTTCCGTAGATTTGGTTGATGAAAAGCGAGATAAATGTTGTAATCAGACTTCTCGTGATTCCAGTCTCGCCCTACACGTATGCAATCCTTTTTAGGTACAAAGCGGAACGGAAATAGAGTTTTGCGGTGAGCTGGTTAATCGTTTTCTTGTGAAATGATAAGCACCCGTGTACTCAGCCGACCAATAGTTTTCATTGCATGCAGTCTTCAACATTCAAGAAGGAAACAGTCGTGGACAATATGACAAATAAGGGACTGTACACGCTTGCAGAAGAAAGCCGTGAACTTTGGAACATTCTTGTATTAACTTTCCGCGAAGCGACTTATATGATTTAAGAATAAAACGCGACAGGAAGATGTTTCCTCCCCCTCCTCGTACCAAGCCGTCTATCTTCACTCGCGTTTCAAGCTCACCTCTGTGTAGCCTGAGAAAACAGCCGACATTTCTCGATCACTGGTTTCCTCGCGAAATAACGTCTGAAAAGCGAGCGCAGAAATTCCATACTGATGAGTGTCAGTACCTAGATCTGGGTAGTGCTTCTGATTGTTCTTGTCGCGTGGGAAATTTACTGCAGCCAATCGGATCTGGTTGCTGACGCGTCATCCGCATGGAATTTTCTCAGACGTCATTTGGCGGGGAAACCAGTGGTGGCGTAGCGAAATGTGGGCTGTTTTCTCAGGCTAGACTCTGTGCGAAAAACGAAGCGCCCGAGGAGAAGGCAGTGTACCCCCCCTCAAAAATTTAGTAAGACGGAAAAATTCTCACCCATTGACCCTTCGGCCAACCCTCATAGGAAGAGCTGCAGGACACCTTTGCTGTTGTTCTGTGGAAATTTCTATTTTTAACTATTTCTCTCGCGTGCGAAATAGGTGCCTGAATTTTAAGTTATCTATAGTTTGAAAAAGACATTTGATGTAAATTCAAAATAAAACGGTACCTGTTTTCATGATTTTAATATGGTTTGACAATGTGTTTTTCTAGGTTATCCATACTTCTCCAACTTGTGAAATAACACCCTTGAATATTACAATTCTACATCTTCAGTTTAATATTGTTTTCATCCATCCTTGCAAAAAGATACTCTAAATAGATAAAAATCATTGTTGCTGATCATTTCCACAAAATTATAAAAGAAAGGAAGAATTTGATGATGGCTTATGGAACAGATGAAATAGAGAACAATGAATAAAGGTGATGTTACACGAGACGATTCGCAACGACGATTTTTAGCGCAACACCGCGTTGCAACATTGTTGCGACATTGTTTCGAATGGCTGCAACATTGTTCCAACATTGGAACCCTGTGTTGCGCTATAAATCATCGTTGCGAATCGTCCCGTGTAACATCACCTTAAAGGTGATATTACACGAAACAATTCGCAACGACGATTTTTAGCGCAACACAGCATTGCAACATTGTTTCGAATGGTCACGAAATTGTTCCAACATTGCAGCGCTATGTTGTGCTAAGAATCGTCGTTGCCAATCGTCTTGTGTAACATCACCTTAAGTCACCCTATGTAAGGAAACCTGGGCCGAGTTGTTCAAAGCCGGGTGAAGATAACCCAGGGCTAGAGCGACATTTGAATTCAGATTTGAAAGGTTAAAAAGAATTTCAGTTTTATTTATTTTTTTTTTTTGGTCTACAAGTTGATGATTGAAAGCTCTAAATATAACAGAGAAAATTATCCGAGAAAATGCTTTTAAGAAAGCATTTTCTTAAGAAAGAGGAACCCGGGTTAAGTTTAACCACGGGTTAAGCGCTTATCGGCCTTCGAACAACTGGGCCCTGGAGTTCGGGAATGTTCTTCTTGTGGAATCCGGAATCCAGGAAAATATTGCTATTGGAATCCGAAATGCTGGGCTTTGGAATCCGAAATACAGGTCAAGGAGTCCGGAGTCCCAGTAACGATTGGAATCCAGAATCCAAGACTGGAATCAAGCACCTTAAATCGGGAATCCACGGCGTGGAAGGCAGGATCCAAGACTGTCTTGCATGGATTAACAGAGTGGAGATACGTCTGTTGGATTCCCTTAATTCTATTCGAGTGTTACAGTGTATGTACTGTTTACTTACAACATACTTTCTGGACACCAATTCTTGTATCAAAACATTCCATATGAATATTACGATATGCATAAAAGTCTATACTTGTATGTCAGTTACACGTATTCATTAGGAATCGCTATTTACTTTTAAAACCTCCTTCAGTATTGCATTTATTAAAATGAAAAGCATTTTGTGTCATGAATAAACAAAATTAGATATTTTGCTGTTCTATCGACCGTTCTGCGGCTCGGGTGAGTTGTTACCTTAGCTTACCTTAATATGGGAATAGGGCTTGGTTTGGATATCCTTTTCGCCCTCTACCAACGGTAGGGAAAGCTTCTCCTCGATGCCTGACCTCACAGGCTGCCCAAACTCTCTTGGCTGAATGTCTTACAGGCGAGTCAAGGAAAAAAAAGTGTGTATTATACCGACTGACTTCAAACTCTCGAATCGTGAGGAGTGTTAAGTTGTTAATAGTAAGGGAATAAATGTAATGAAGCTTGTAAAGGTTGTATTTGTTGGATTTGGAAGGTTGGGATTAAGGATTGGGAAGAGAGATTGGTTTAACTTATTGGGAGCGGCGTCGCGGTGATTGAGTTTTTATACAATTGTATAAGAATATATATAATATCAATAGATAATACAATACAATATCCATACAATATCAATTTTGGTAGCTTGGGGAAGGTCAGATTGACTCCCCATACCCTATAATAATGTCATGAGTAACAATACCCAGGGATGAATATTATACTAGCCTGATGGGACCTGATCAGCACCCCGGGGGGGGTACTTTAGGAATTTCTGGGTGGGGATGTGCCGCTGGGACCCTGGAACCCTTAACCTATACCAGAGCTAGTTCAGCTGAATTTTGCTACCCTATACTAGAGTAAACTCCCCAAATCCCCCTATCCTAGAGTAGCTGTTTACCTAGTCTACATAAAATCTTCAACCAACTGATCAGTTTCCTGAAAAATGATACCCTATTCTAGACATTCTAGACCCAAACGCTCTGATTTATATACCCTATCCTAGAGTAAACTGCTTGAAAACCATACCCTTCACAGCGGCACATACCTATATAGCCCATATATGGCAGTACCCCCCCCGGGATCAGCACTGGAGACTGCATTCTTTGAACTGCAGTATTTCTTGCAACCTGTATTATTTAGGCTGTCACCCTGTGTTAAGCGGTCACTTAGCCATTCCCCGAGGGTGACCGCTTAATACAGGTTCGACTGTATGACGTTGCTTTACTCACTTTTAAAGCAAAAGGGCCTCGGATATCAAAAATAATATTCGCAACAAATTTTTCCGTCTAAAGCAGACTTGTAAACCTGAAAATACAGAAACTTTGCAGATTTTTTATAATCGTAAGGAAATGAATATTACGTTCGTCCTTAACCTAATGAAGGATTAATGAAAGTAGAGGGAAATGTTTTAAGTGTCTACATCCATTTTTCTGTAACAGATGAATAGAGGAATCATCAATCTCCTCCGCTTAATTGGGAAGCGGGGAACTGAACTATCGTCGCTTTCACAGCTTTGGCCCCTCTGGGGCCTGGTGCGAACCTGGGGCCCCTGGCCTTCGAGCTAGACCCGGGCTTTTCCGGAATGCGCCACAAAAAATTATTCAGTCGTCAAAAACACTTCACGTACTTGTAGCAACAGAAAAATGTCCAGCAAAAATAACTTCCTCATCCTCTCTCTGCTTATTATTTTCAACATGTCTTATCTCCATATAATGGTAAGTATATGAGAGCCAAACAAAGAGAATCGAGCCAAGGTTAAGGCGGTATCATGCTCATGATTTTATAGATCGAAATAAGTACACTTGAAGAAATTTGCAAGAATCTTAAGCTTGCATTACATAGTTTCCCAGAAAGTTAATTTCTTGGTTTTATACGTTCCCTTGTCCTGAAAGCACCTTAAACAGAGGTGTTTTACTTAAGTTATTTTAATCTCCTTGTTTGGGAAATGAAGCTTTAAACTGTACATCACATATGCATTATCATCCACATGAAAAATCGTCCTTCACAATCTTCCAACCCTTTGCGTTTGGAGATGAATCCTTAACTAACAAATTCAGATCTTCATGCGGATTCCATTTGAAAATTAAAAAAAACTGCATTGTTTCCGTATCAAGGTCGAATGTCAATTGGTAGCGGTTTATAGTACTAATTTGTTGAGTTTTCTTTAGTTCGTACAGTTTGCTTTCGTTACTTTTAGGGGACCGTAGCTTTATGGAGGAAAAAACGAACTGAGTGCGTGGGCAAAATGAGGAGTTCACGCAAAAACGTGACGAATGTAGACGCCAAATGTAGAATGTAGAACGAGAAAAAAGAAAACATGAATCTGTTTTAGTTATTTTCTGTATTATTCTCGCTTGAATCTACAGTAAATTGCCTAACATGAAATCCGAAAAAATTTAAAAAAAATGTCCTGACTTCGAAATTCATGGTTCATGGCTAAAAGATGTTTTCAGAAATGACCAGTATTTGCACTTCATTTGGTCTTTGTTGTCGAACATTCAACATTATTTTTTCAACTTGTCATTTTGCTCGCACACTTGCTCGTTTTTCTCCTGATCTTTAGAGCGATGGTCCCCTAAAAGTAATGAAAGCCGTAAATTTTCAGTCGTTACTGGAGTTCATCTCCCCAGGTAAAGCTAATATTTCTTGCCTTTAGAAAAGTTTCCTAGATTATAATTGGCCAGATTTTGTAATCTAATTTTGATGTTATGGCTTTTCCCAAGACAATAGATAATATTTTATTTGGGGTCTTTTTCCAGCTAGTACTTCAACGGTTTTCCAAACAATCTTCTAGGTTAAGTTCTTTATTACACTATACATATCAAGGTATTGCAAATAGCCCCAAATACAACCCCGGCCCCCTGGCCTTGTTACCTCACCGTTCCACCCCTATTTTAGACTTCATCTTGCTGTTGGGTTGAGCACGAAGACTTGACCTGAACAAATGTAATGTAATACTGGTCCATTTGTTAACTCATTAGAAACTGATCCAAAACTCTCTGATAACATTTATGCTCTCCAATCCCTTGTTGCAGATTAAAACAGTTGCAAATTCCCTGCCCAAAATTCCAGTTATATATATGATAAAATTTATTTACTTAGTCATTTGAAAATCCATTCACAGGGATTTGAAGAATATGAACCTGACTCTGCTCATCACAGGTTTCGAAGAAATGTTTATGCCATGTCTGGTAAGTTTTGCCCACTTCAGTTGTGTGTGTATGGCATATTTCAAATCTAAGCGTAACTCTCAGTTCAGCCACACACCACATCTATTTCTGTTAGCAAGTGTCCACAGGAAGTATGAACTAAGCAAAGAAATAAGACTTTCCCTGGAATTTTCTGGTCAACTTTTACCTGTTTTGGGGGGTTTTCTTGTCTGGCCTGTTCTACTTTTTTCCCTCTGCACATAGTTTAAAGTAAAGAACAGAAATCCCAAAACAAACTGGCTCTCTTTTCCCTAAGCTCCTTGTTAGCTCTATCAGCTCTCTAATAAATAAGAATATTAATAATAATAATTTATTAATTTGCTATAGCACCTTTTTAATGTAAAAGCTAGTGATCAAAAGCACTTTGCTTTGTCTATGTATTAGTTAAAACTAGATCTATGATAGATATAACCAATAAAAAGGTAAAAATACAAATAATAAAAAACAACATGTTAAATAAAATGAAAAAGATAAAAAAATATTTTAAAACCATGTAAAAGCTAATCTAAAAAAAAGTCTTGACAAGTCTCTTAAAGGCGGCTAATGATTGGATATCACAGATATGCACCGGAGGGCTGTTCCAGAATTTAAGGGTGGTAGTAGAAAAGGATCTAGTAACTAAAGTTGCTAGCATGCACCACTTAGGAAACAGCTCTCCTGAACACATTACAGTGTGGACAGTCGAACTGGGACACTTGGAAAAAGATTGTCCAAATCAAAATGTTTTCTGAAAACAAAGGATTCTCATTATACCAGTATATATATATATTTTTTTGCAAACAAACCTATAACATTCAAGGTTCAACTCTGCAACCATTGAAAACTTTAAAAGCGTTTGAACTTACTTGACTTTTCGGGAAACATGTCTCAAATTTATGAATTTTATTGGTTCATTTCCAAACAAACTTGGGAATAATTTGTTTTCATAAAACATTGTGATTGGACAATCTTCTTCTATACATCCCGGCTTGACTGTCTTCACTGCAATATTACAATCAAGAAAACTAAGCAGCCAGAACTTTCATGATATCACTTCTATAAATACTCAGATTCAAAAAGCTTATTGGCAACTACCAAAAAATGATACAACTTTGAAAATATAATGAATTCATTATTAGAATCCATGTGGTTACTCTTAACCTGGTTTTACTATAAAGAGCAAAAAATAATGCCAGTAGAGAAATATTTTTTTTTCTGATGTTTTTTCCATGTTTCTTCATCACAGATAAACCTCAACCTTCATCAGAGTACCCTGTTGTGCTGTTCTCTGGCACAGATTATGACAGCATCTCAAATAATGGTTATTACACGCAACTAAAAGAGGATGAGTACATTGTGTGGGGAAGAACTGTGGCTGATGAGAAACGGGACTTTCGTTATCGATCTTTGATAGTTTTGCCTGGAAGGCAGCTTAAGTTTAAAGGTACAGTATATTGCAGTAGTGCCTTAGTGCAGGCACCTTTTTAGTTCATAACATGATCTTCTCCAACAAGTGTTTATAAGAGAGGATTGTTTTGATGTCAAGCTGAAAGAATATCTTCAAAGAAGCAGGGTACATACAGTACAAGTCATGAAATTTAAGAATTGTTTCATTTTCCAGGCCTGTAAATTCATGGAATTTTACTTCAATCCTGGAAAGTCATGGAAAATTAAAGTTATGTTTGTAGGATTACAGTAGTTACTGCAGATGTCAAACTAAGGACAACGATAGATAGACAAAAGTAATAATATTAATAACACAGCAGGAATAGTATGCATTTTGGTGGACACCAGAATTAGTGTCTGTTGAACTGGGTCAGGTGAAAAATACCCTTAAACAAGGGAAAGTTTTTTACATGCTTAACATAGACGGTCATAGAAAACTTGGAAATTCATGGAATATTAAGTGCTTAAAAGAGTATGAACCCTTAAGAATGGTGACATTATGGTGGATTCCAGGGAAGGCCAAACTATGAGCACCATTCACCATTGAACTTCATACAAATGTCAATTGAATATTCAGCCATCTTAGGCTATCACATATGAAAAATTAAATAGGAAACTCATCAGGAATGATGTTTGTTTTTTATTACCATTTTGAAGTTTCTTCAAGACAACCAATTATATGGATGAAAAAACTTCTTAGTTGTGGGCAAAATTTATGAATCAAGCAAACATGAAACAAGTCTTCTAAGACATTTGGGTATGTTAGCTTTCATTTGTCAAGTTAACTGAAAATAAGTAAAACAACATTTAAAGGCAACTTGAAAGTAGGTTTAAGCGTTGAGTCGACCAATCTTGTCATGGTATGATGGCAATAAAACATTAAACCAAATGTCTGTTAGATTTCCCTCCTAGCAGAGGTCTCTCACAGCCACCGAGAAGAAGGAGAGGAAAGAGATAGACCTCTGTGCAGGCCGCCAATGCATTTTCTATCACTCATGCACTAGTGTTTCCAAAACCAGTATTGAAGTTTTGGCCACAAATGTGGTCGGCAGCTACATGAATGGTCGCATCGGTGGCTGGTAGTGGTCTTTCTTTCCTGTCATTTTTTTCTTGCTGTGAGAGACCTCTGCTAGCAGGGAACTGTTACATCTGATGCAGGGCTAAGATTTCAAGTTGCCAGGTACACATCGGGAAGGGGTAAATCTCCCATCAGCTAGGGATTTCCTTAGGTTCTATTTTTCTACTTTTTTCATGAAAGTAGCCAGGAGTCATCTTCATAATCACTGGAGGAAATCTCTGGCACCAGTCCCTTAATGACAGCCTTGTGATGCTAGAAAAAATGTTTTAAAAAGGAGTCAAATCATTTAACAATTATTATGTCCTTAAATTATTATTTCTTACTTTTATTACACATGTAGGTGCCTTTACAAGTGGAAACAAATTTTTGTCATCCATTAACAACATTACTAACATTAGCAATGTTCACTTGTGGATGTTTGATAACCAAGATGTCGGTGGATCCTCAGGGATCTGGTATACACAGTGGCTTCACTGGGAGATGGGGTTTGCCATTAAGGTGGAGCCATGCTCAAATTGTTCAGCCCCAGACTGTGGGGGAAGAACTTGTTATTTTGGCACTTGTGGTGCTGATGGAAACTGCCAATGCATAAGGGGATACTCAGGAACCAACTGTACAGTCAGTAAGTTCGCTAAATTGATATAATATGTTGTTACAGGGTTCATACAGGTCATGGAAAACCTGGAAAGTCATTAAATTAAGATTTTTAATTGTCAGTCCTTGAAAGTTTTGAAAAATTTTAGTTAGGATAATGTTACTTTGGTAGATTAATTACGAAAGATGCTAAAGCAACGACAATGTGAGATAAGACAAATACGTGTCATTAAACAATGTGAACGACGCACGATTTGGTGGACACAAGAGTTTTTGTTGAACTGAGTTATTAGGTCTCACTTTTGAAAATTTTCGAAAATGAGAGCTTATAATAATAAATTTATTAATAAATTTATGGAAGTTGAGGTCATGCAAATAAAAAAGTTCATGACAAATGTCATGGAAAAGTCATAGTAATAAGTCATGGAATTTGAAGAGTTTAAAAAACAAACGCTGCGTTAGGTTTCCTGCATTTCCATGCCTTTACCGCTATTTAGTTATTGTCCATCATAATTAACAGTCACTTTGCAATAATGATGATGGTGGTATCATCTTAACTTTGGATAGTGTTTACAGAGGTACAATAAATCTGCTAAATACTTTAGCCTCCTACATACAGTACAGGCTTCCCTGTGGTGCAGACGGATGGGTGTACAGTGATTGTGGGTGTATGTGATTACCAAAATTTCTTGTATTGATAGATTACTTATGAAATTTTCTTAGGCATGGGGCTCTGTTCGTTCGTGCAAAGCGCATGCTACCGCACACCTTGCTACCTAATGATAAATCACCATTACAAAGATTTTCAATGCATAAATAATTATAAGGACTCCAGTTGACTGTGTGTAAAGATACCGGTAGCTTTATTTAGTTTATCGTAAATGCAGACAAAATTACAACATGGTCAATAGTGTAAAGAGTACTTGGTTTTTAATGAAAAAGAACCAATATGTTGTTTTCCTTCTGTAAAAAGAAAGTTTTAACAAAATTGTAAGATACTTACCTCATCTAATAATTATTGCATTAATATATCTTTGACTGACTTTTTTTAACAGGACCATCAGACTTCAGTATGTACCCATCAATTCAATACCCACTTATCCTGTTTCCAAATGCATACTACATGGGAACTCCAAAGAAAGTTGCGCCAGACACATTCGAAGTTTTTGCTCAAAACACTCAAAGCCAGCTTGTGTATTCATACAAATCCATGCGTGTTCTGTTTAGAAGGAAGGTCACCTTCTCACGTGTTGACCACAACGAGAATTACGAGATTCTCATTGGTGGAGACATAGAAGATATTTCCTCCTTCATGACCATGAATGAAGAAATTGGAGATGATTTGTGGATAAACTTTTCACCTGCAATTGACCTTAGCTTTGCTGTCAAAGTGGAAGACAATCCTGCCTGTACTAACTGTAGTGAAACTGGGGGTTCTTGTTTTACAGGCAGTTGTGTTTGTCTTCCTGGCTATACTGGGGTCAACTGCGATAGCCTAATCTGATCATAAGTGCCTTACAGGAGTGCACAATCAGAATGTCACATGTAATTTTTTTTAACTGCTTAATGAAATACCATAAATTGGACAACAGTCATGTTGTTTTCTGATTTACATTAGAAGAACTTTCACAACGTTGTTGTTTTTAGTTTTACCAAAATTTGACTAAATTTTTCATGTTCTCTTCATTCTCTACATTTTTGTACATTTTTATTTCCAAGTTTCCTTTTGCCAGGTTTTTATAGCATTGTTTTTCAAGGTTTTTTTTATTACAAAAGTAAAAATTAAAGAAAAGAAGCATCACTTTCAAATTGTAGACACGGAGTTTTTTTAGCTTTCTTGGATAATTTTTATTTTTGTATTCTAAATATTATGGGTGAACAGAATGCAATAATTGAAGTAGCTTAATGTGGCATTTTTTTTAGTAGACAGTCGTGAAGCAAAGGTTAAACACCGGTAACCTATACTGCAGTTTCAGACACCTCTTAATATCGGTTTTGTACAGCATTCAACTCATGCATGTAAAAATATTTATTTATGGTGTATACTTTATCAATGCACATGGTTGTAAATACACATTTTTGTACGTCATGTTTTACTATCTAGTGGAAAATTAAAAGTTTTATTTTCAGTTAAGATACGATTCTATGCAATTATGGTTATTTACAGGAATGGTGTCTCCTAGAATGCAGCTGTTTTGTCATCATGAGACGCTCCTACCCCCATAAAGGTAGAGGAGGAGCATTGAATGGTGACACAAAAAAACAGCTGCGAAGGAGACCACACCAGTAGCCTACGTGTAGCCACACCCTCCCCCCGACAAAGAAGGGAGGCTCTGTCGGGGGGAGGGTGTAGCTACACATGGGCTAGCCTTTTATAGACGCTCCCTCTCTCCGTTTTTCCTTTGTAGGGGGGAGGGTGCGGTTACACATAGGCTACCACACCAGCTACACGAGTGGATGCAACAGTTCAAAACGACCATTTTACAGTTGTGGGCTTTATAGTATCCTAGCTTTTGAGTGAATGCAAGGCTGAAGTTGACCTTGTACTGATACAGACCTCCTTCCTTTTCTTATGGAAATTATGCTTATAAAACACTAGTTAGCATAAGAACATCGCGATTTGCATAATAAAGCAGGAGTTGCTGTATCGAAAAAAGGTCAACTCCAGCCTCGTTTCCTTCTGTAAAATGGGCTTTTTGATTTCAGGTTAATTTTGATTGAACATAGGTAAACTCTCACTTCCCTTTGTCTCCTAGCCTTAGAAGATTTGTAAAGGAACAAGAACGCTCTTACAGCGGCCATCAGTCTCGCTTGCTTGGAGATTAGATCGAGAAATGAGGCGATTAATTCTATACGAAACAGGATTTACTCGCTAAAGGCTTTTTACTCCCTACTTCTGGATATTTACTTTTTATTTGTTTCTGAATTGATTTAGTACGCGTGTTAGCGACGACCGGAAATACGTCTGCAGTCGCAGGCTACCAAAAAGGTCATTTTCCACACCCGTGTTGACAGACCATCAGACCTCTAAAGTAAAAAATCTAATACCTGTTTTCAGACCTGGAGTTTAGGCAGAGATTATGTCATCATTACTCAGACTAGAGCGCAAACAAAAAAGAATACTTCAAATCCATTTCGAATTCGCATATTTCTCTTTCTTTCTTACTCATTTGGAATTGAAGCGATAAATACGTTCACGCACTCCCTTAGTTCCCTCGAAAACTATACTCGATTCCAGACCGAAGGGGCAAGGTGTATACCCGTTTTCAGACCAAAAAGACACAAAAACCATACCCTTTGGGGCAGCACATACCTATACGGTTAAAATAAGGAGTACCCCCGGGGGTTTCTTGTTATTCTGTTCAAAAGCATTTTCTCGGATAATTTTCTCTGTTTGCCACTTGCACATCAGTCCCAAAATGCTCCTTGTTTGTACCCCAAAATTTTGCTTAAGCAGCGCTATCATTTTCTCTTGGACCACTTGAGACGGCTGAAATGAAAACAAAGGTTATATACAAAATTTGGGGGGGGGAAACAAGGTGTATTATGGGAGACGTGCAAATGGTGAATTCTTTATACTGAATTAGAGCATCAAATCATTACATTGCATGCAAGAAGAATTAAACTCGTTCATATCTGAATTTTAACTTTGCACTAACCCCAGCAGGGGGCGTTGGGGAGTGCACTTCCTTATAAGCCATCTGTGCCGCCCCGCGGCCGAAGGGTATAAGTTTTGCGCCGTTTTGGCCTGAAAACGGGTGTAGACTTCGCCCATTTGGTCTGGAATTGCGGTTGGTTTTCGAAGGAACTACGGGGGTGTATGAACGTTTTTATCTCCAAATGAATAAGAAAGAAAGAGAAATATGCCTGCGAATTCCTATTTTTTTGTTGTTGTTCTTTAGAAGCATCATGATGACATAGTGCAGAAACTGATTTGCTGCCGTTGTTATTGTTGAACAAGGTGAAAGTATCGTCAACATATCGGAACCACAGGGACACCCAATTAACCACGGTTAGCTCCAGCATTTCCAAAATGCATTGAAAACGCTTGAGATCACTGCAAATGCATTCTAAGCGGCGAAATAAAGTTTGTATCTGTTCGGTCATCCTAGGGCAACTTGAGTCTTTTCGAAATTACAAGGATTTCTGCGTGATTAAATTCCCAAAAATTTTAGATGCAATTTAAAGCTTCACGAAGGTTAGCATTTTTCTGATTCCTCTCTCCATCAAATGTTTGAATCTGAAAATTTTAGGTTTTTCTTTTTATCTACGAAAAATAGCTTAACCTGTACCCTGGGTGCCAGAGGCTTTTCATGTGCGGTTTCCGGTTTCGGTCAAGTGTTAAAAAGTGACCCGCGCGAAAAGCTTTTTTTTTTCTCGCGGTTTCGCCTGCGGCCGACAAAAGGAAGCTCCCCGTCGAGGGATTTATTGAAGAAACGGGTGTGAAAAATAACATGGTTTGGAGAACCGGGCGGCACACCCCCACCAAGAATTCCCAGGAGTACACCCCCGGGGGCGTTACCCCGGTCTATGGCCGGGCATCTGCGAGAGGGACTAAAACCGACTAAAACGAGTTTAAGTAGCAAGATGGCGTCAACATTCAGGCAAGGCTCGGAGAAGGCAGAGAACGCTTTGGCAAATCATTGGGGACAGCTGATCTTTACCCACGACAGTAAACCCCCTGTTTTAATCAGCAAAGAGGTTGTAAGATTAGGACGAAAGGAAGGTTAGAAAGACCAAAGATTGTGCACAGATTTAAGCTTATATACATGTAAGCTGGCTCACAATTTTTATGTGAATGCTTTGAAAAAGCTAAGTCTTATAATTTGTTACGTGTTTGACAGATTGTGATATCAGTTTTTCTGGATGTAAATTTGTATCTGGTCATCACTGCAGTTTGTCAAGAGATCCTGATGGTAAAATCTGGATTGAGGACGTCAGGTATAGACGTATAAAATTCCCTGCCAGCGCTCTGAGGTCGCTTTTCCTTCCGGGTGAGGACAAAACATGGACCAGGGGTCCATGGACCACTTTCATGGACCGGGTCCATGGACCCCCTGTCATGGACCAGGTCCATGGACAGTTTTTTTTATTTTTATAAGAAGGTTTTGCACCAGGTCTATGGACACTCAAAAACAGAAATAGTGCCAAAAAAAGATTTGACGAGACGCTGTCGACAAATGCTCACGATTGATCACAAATATTTAATTGTGCTTACATGACATACACTCTGCTTGCACATGTGCAGTCGCAAGACTGTTAAATTAAGTTAATTCAAAAGTTATCACCAAGAGAGGAATTACGCGCTCCAGTGCAAAGACTTGCATCACCCTTTAATAGAAAAACAAGCTGGAGTTAAGAATTCATTGCTTTTAGAGCAATCATGACTGAGTCACATCGCAATTCTACATAGTTGATGTAGCTTCAGTTTAAGCTACAATCCATTGCCACTTCTTCTTCTTCTTTGAGATCTGGATCTGTAAATCACTATCCGTGAGAATTTATAATCGTCCTGCTAAAAGCGCTAAGGAGCTGGGCCCAGCGTGACAAAACATTGCAGGAAAAAGTGACATTCATGGACAAAAAGAAAGTGGCTTAGAATTGTTCAGATCCAGGATGCACTTTGGAGAAATTAAACAACCTAAAACCGTTTTAATCAGCCGCAATGAACAGCTTTACATTTTAAAAGAGGTAGAAAATCAATATGTGTGTCAAGACGTCTCAGAATGAAATAAGCGGCAAAAATTCACATTTGCTCAGTCAAAAGGTTTTCATCCGAAGCTTAATCTACCCATCAGAGAAAACAGCAAGCAGCATTTTGGCATGAGGTACCGACCCCCCCCCCCTTTTTTTTACACTATGTAAGCACAATTAAACATTACTGATCAGTTAAGCATTGTTTGTTGTTGCTGTTTTTTTTTAAACCTTATTTTTGCTCTATTTCTGTTTTTGTGCATTTTTCATTATTAAAAAAAACTGTCCATGGACCTGGTCCATGACAGGGGGTCCATGGACCCGGTCCATGAAAGTGGTCCATGGACCGCGCTGGTCCATGTTTTGTGCTCAGCCAAAAGAAACAGGCTGGTCCATGTTTTGTTCTCAGCCAAAAGAAACAGCTAGTCCACTTTAATAAAATAGCAACAGAATTTCTTTTTCTGAAAAATGCCCAAAGAAAAAATTGTAAATAATTTTAAATAAATGTAAATAATAAATAGCTAAGCTTATCTACAAAATTAATTATGTTGGTGTTTCTTTTAGCACCAATGGGTCTTTGCTGAATGGAAAGAAAATTGCAAAAAATGAGGTAAGAATTTGTGTCACTAATTCAATGACTGTTTGTGTTAAGTCAATATTATCATTCCAAGCTATCACTTAAATTTTATGTTGCTAGGTCCATGCAAAAATTATGCAGAGGGGTTTATTTTCCTTTTGTTTCCAAGATAGTATGTAGGGATCATGTTCATAGGGAATCCCCAGCCCCTGGCCCTAATTAGTGACAGCCTTTATAATTATTAGTCATTATTTATACAGTTTATACATTAAAACAGAAACAAACTTTTTAAATACAGAAAATACAGATCTCTCACAATGATCAAGTGCAAATAGTTCATCGCAAGGACCCTGGAAGTGGTAGGTGTCTTTCAACATTTGTGTTGAAATTGTTAATAAATTAATTCTATAAAGCTGTGACCTCAGCTTTTAATTCTTGTAACATTTTTTGCAGACATTGCATTTGTGTTTCAAGACCTGAAGTTCTTGAGGGAGGAGGCTGCTCTTCTAGACAATACCTTAGAGTATCAAATTGATACAGGTTTGCACTGTTAATTAATTTACAGGTCATGTTAAGAACATTTTTCAGAGACTTTTTAATTTCTCAAAGTTCATGTGTCTTCAAAACAGCAAGAAATACACAAATCTGGCACTTTGAGACTCCTATCAAAATTAATCATAATTCCACCAGGTTTTCAAGACCTGATCAAAATTTTCTCTTAAGGTATTTGAATTTTAAGGTACAAAGATTAAGAATGTTCTCTATGGGGGCCTGTCAGCTGTTGAGACTTCTACTTCGATTGATGAGCTTTTCTTAATTTCCTTGCGGCCAGAAATGCTGATAATTATCTTGAAGAATGAAGAGAAAAAAGAAGCTTAAAAAAATTTTGTAATGACTTGTGCTTTATTATTTTACTGGTTATTTGTTTCTGTTGTAGAAGAGGATAATTCAGATGATGAAGAGATTTATCGTCGAGAAAAAAGATCTCATAGTGAGGTACATAGTATTATGTATTTAAAACAACATCTGATAATTATTCATATGTTAAGGAGCTGTAAATCACTAATTAACAATTATATCATGAGTGCGTGTTGGATATGAGGTGGTAGATAGCCAAGGAAGAATATAGCACCGAGTTGGTTATAATTATCTCATATCCAACAAGCACAAGTGGAATAATTGTTTTATTTAAAATGCCCACAAAATATTGAGAATTCTTCCCAACTTTACTTGTAAAAACAACCGATTTTCAGCTTGTTTCAATTAATTTTGAGCAGATACGTACAGTTACCGGGGAGAGCATAGTGTAATGGCTCATATACAATGATGGCTAAGCCAATCAGAGCTCTAGAAGGCATTATCCAATGATTCAGTTTTTATCATTACTAACAGAACTTCTGCAGTTTTTCCTGCATGGATAAAATTGAACCACTCAGTGTGCACCATAGGATGATGTGAAAAAGTTTCACCAATCTTCATATGTTTTCGTCCTAGTTTTGTAACCTTCATTATACATTTATACTCTGTATTTAGCAAATAAATTTTAAAACTGAGACCAAGAATTTCAAACACATTGAATGTTTCGTTTGAGTAGCTCGAACTTCAACAGCAATGTAAAATGAGGTTACGTAACAGATTAAAGATTTTTATGTATTCTTTATAAGAGAGGATTGCAAATGGCCAACACTATAGGTGTGTAGGTTATTGAAATCAAATCACATCAAATCAAATCAAATCACTGGTTTGAATATTCCATTATTTTTCTGTCATTTCCTGCTATTTCTTCGCACACTTTGCTTCTGCCAACTACAGTGTAGTAGCACCAGTCAGAGCATTTAATAGCTGCATCTCATTTATTTTTCCTTTTCATTCAGGTCAGTGATACTGATGATGGTCCAAAGCCAAAGAAGAAACATGCAGAGGTAGCAGGCACGTCTGATGACAAGAAACCAGCTGACTTAGTCACTCATAATTCCATTGCAGAAACACTTGTATGTAGCATCTGTCAGGTGAGATGGGAAGATTCATCGGATTCTTAAAAAGAGCTCCATGAACTGATAGATTTTTAAATATCCAATGTAGATTTCTTTTGGTATAGTTCGCTGGAACATCCATTTGTCCAAAAGAAGCCAAAAGCTATGACAGCGCTTTTGGAAGCATTGCCAATCAGTCTACATATACAATTTATTATTCATTTCAGCCTGAAACATTTAACAAGACCTGCAGGCAGTTACAAGCAAAGCTACATTTTGTATCATCTCAAAGTTTTTAGAAAAAACTAAATGTAGTTTTCAAGGTGGTGCAGTGATTATAAAGCAACTTTATTAAAAGCTTGTTTTGCACAAATATGTAAATACTGATCCTCCACAAAGCAAATTTGCAACAGTCTACAGGTGGCAGAGGTAAAAATTTGTTCGCATGTTAGTCACGGTTAATCTTTACCTTATTGATTCTTGAAATCGCTCAAGAATTTTGGCAATTATACTTACAGTTTTTAGGCCATCACGCTATGAGAATCGTGTAGCCAGGCGATGGGATTCGTGTCTCACAAGAGGGTGGTGACCTACCTTTTGAGCAGTACTGACATATACACACATATATGGCTGTACCATAAAATAATGATATAGAGTGTAATAGACACTACAGGCATCTATTTGATTTTAGAAACCCAAGAAAGGGTGTTTATTAGATATGTGTAGGAGGTGGCATTTAAAAGGAAGAGGTCGTACATGTAAATGTAACAATTGACACAAAACTAATATGCTCTCAGTGAATACATCACTACAGTTTATAAATAGACAGGAGATGGTTATTTTTTGAGAGAACTTAATTTACATTATATCTTTTCACCTGGCCTTAGAGGGCTAATAACTTTGATTTTTTCCTAAATATTACAGGATATCTTCTATGACTGTGTGAGGTAGGTTGACTGGCCTGGCTAGCTATCTTTATATTTTTTTTTCCAGTGCTTGAAGTTCCCAATATTGAACAAAGGGGCAAAATGGAAAAACTTTTTTTTTGTGGACGGTGTAGAGGCTTATTTCCTTTTTCGAATTTGGTTTATTTTACTTCTATTTTTTTGCAGTCTGCAGCCCTGTATTCATTCATTTTGTGCAGCATGTTATTCACAGTGGATGGATCGATCCAGCGATTGTCCCAGTGTAAGACACAAGTGTAGTTCTACAAAGGCAGTAGCAGTCGCATTGTTAAAATTGCTTATTTGCATGGAAATTTCATCACAGGTTTCTTCCAGTGTTGATAATACATGTGTACATGTACATTTAGAAGGGGGTTCTGGAGTAAGGCTCTTTTTAACTTTTGATAAAATGCAAGATTCTCCTTCCAATTACCTTGCATAATGTGCTTGATAATCAAAGTATCTTGTACAAATGTACTACATAAACAGTCACTTTAGGTCATGTACCCCATTCTTTTTGTTTCTGAGTCACCAATCCCACCAGTACAGTGTGCCCCTTTCATAAAACAAAACTTCCCAAAGGCTACAGATAGACTGTATTTGGGGTACCTAAAGTGCACAAAGGATCAGAAAGTGTATTATTTATTTTAGTCTTATGCAGCTCCAGTAAATAGCAGTTGGTCATTGGACAAAGGCAGACCACAGCCAATGAAATCTCAATCATAGTCAATCATTTTGTCTGCCCTGGTGTATTGTGATTGGTTGCAGGTCTTGTACATGTCCCCTCCCCAACCCTCTCTCTGCCAACACTGATTTGGCAGGAATTTAACAAAATTTAAGCATTTTATGTTCATGGAAAAATTATGTTTTCAAAACATGAATTAACTAACTAAAAGATACAAGTATGCTGTCATTTACTAGACTACGAGTAGTCCCCCATTTTTCCTCAGTGATAGTAGAGCGAGCGAAACGCGAGCGCGCGTGAAAATCACCCCATGCGAGAAAAGGCGACACGCGGCGGGGAGAGAGAAAAATGAGGGACTACAGACAAAGCCCAAGCTTTTGACCCTTCACGGCCGACTGATTTCGGAGTGTGAAGTTCGTATCCCCTTCCAAATCAATTAAGCGCATCCAATGGGATTCCTTCCCTCATTGAGCTGTCATTGCTCTTGTCATCGGTAAACTGCGGGGGATACTTATTGCAAGCAAAAGAAAACCCAGATACTAATTTTCTTGACGGTTGTTTCGCGTGAAGAACTTGATAGTGTAGGCAACACACGACTTTTACTCATGCCAAAATGCTGCTTGTTCCAATGAATTTTTTTTTTTGACGGATAGATTATGCTCTGGAGGAAAACGTTTTGACTGAGCAAATGTGATTTTTGCCGCTTATTTCATAATGAGAGGTCGTGACACGTATATTAATTTTCTGCGGTTATTGTTTATGGTCGGCATGATTTGTCCACTAATGCAAGAGCATTTTATTTCACTTCTTTTGAAAAGTAAAGCTCTTCAATGCGGCTAAATAACGGTCTGGGGTTGTTTAATTTTTCCGGCGATTGCCTCCTGGATCTGAATAATTTTAAGCGATTATCTTTTTGGCCGTGAATGTGTCGGTTTCCTGCAATGTTTTGTCACGCTGGGCCCAGCTCGTTAGCGTGTTTAGCAGGACGGATAGCGATATCCAAATCTCGAAGAATGGATTGCAGCTTAAACTAAAACTACATCAACTATGGAGAACTGCGATGTGACTCAGTCATGACTGCTCATGAATTTTAACTGCCGCTTGTTTTTCTGGAGATAATGTGAGTATTTGGACCGGAGTGCGTAGTTCCTCCCTTGGTGATAACTTTTGAATAAGCGACTGTTCTGTTATTCAATTCCCACTTTGTGATCAGACAAGACCATGGTTTCGGTTCTCCACGCGAACCTCATCAGTTGCTGGGCTGGCTTTCTTTTTAGTTGCTTCTACAACAGCAACTCTGACTAGTTATTTGTTCTTTGCTGTTATTATTTCTGCTCTAGTTATTTGTTCTGTAAATTGAGATTATGTCGAGTGTTGATAGCGGCTGGCGCGTTTTTGACAGATGTTGACAGATTTCCATGGAAGAGCTAATCGGAGTTTTGCGTTGTGAGAGCAACGCATTAGTTCAAAAGCTTGGGCTTTGTCTGTAGTCCCTCATTTTTCTCTCTCCCCGCCGCGTGTCGCCTTTTCTCGCGTGGGTTGATTTTTAACGCGCGCTCGCGTTTTGCTCGCTCTACTATCCCCTGAGGAAAAATGGGGGACTACTCGTAGTCTAGTCATTTACCTGACCCAACTTTTTTTGTTTTGCAGTGTAGGAAAAAAGTTGAAAGAATTAGTAAAAATCACATTGTCAATAATCTTGTAGAAGCATTTCTTAGAGAACACCCAGGTTAGTTTACTTCATTATCTTTTGCTATTACATTCATCTTTATTTGATAGATTCTTTTATAAAGAAAAACAAAATATTTTACGTTATTTTAAGTCAGACTTGTAGCATTAATACTTAGCGTTAGTCCATATGTTATCTCTCTTGTATACTGAGGATGTTTACATTGAAGCACTTATTATTCTCAAAAGAATATACAAAAAATAACTAATAAGAACTTTACAAGTCTTTAGCCTTTATCTTAGTCCTAGACTTTATTTTAGCCTAAATCACATTTCTGTTACTTTATAAGTTGATGTAAAACACTGTAATTATTGATTTTATATTTCCTTATTTATTTAGACTTTCAGTGCATTAAAACTACACATACCTGTTTTACTCTACTCACCTAAATAAGCCTGCTTTTTGCAAGTTAAGAGCAGTTTTGTAAATTTTCTTTTAAAAATACTGAAATAAACTTGAAACTTGAATATGTCCCTCTCTAATCATCTTCAACAGAAAGACAGCGGCCAGAAGAGGAACTTAGAGAGATGGATTCTAAAAACAAAATAACAGAAGATATGGTGGGTTCATTGCATGCTTACAGTCTGAATAATCATGATGTTACATCTATTTTACTAACAATATTATTATTTCCGTTGAGATTTCATAATAGTTAGGCATTGTTGGTATTGCATGTATATTTTTTTGGCATGAAACTTTAACTATATTTTTATGTAAAATTCTCCTTGGAGGGTCGCCAATAGGGTTATTTTATACTATCTTGGACCCAACTCAAATTTTTGCTTTTGATGGCTACTACATGCATTTTTGGCATTCCGCATCCCGTGCAGTACAATGTACTTTCAATCCTGAAACTTGCTCCCAGCCTTTAAATAATACAAATTCCAAATTCTGAAAAAGACTTATTGGGGGTCCACCTTCTCCTTGATCTGCATATCAATTTTTTGCATCAAATTTACAGTTATAATGGCAGCTAAATTCAATAATAATAATTGCTAATTGATGACTGTTGATTTAATTTCTCTCGTACTTTTTATGAGCAAGTCCTGTTAATACATCAGCAATTCAAATGAGAAATTTACCAGAACTCACTTACCCCTATATGGAGTTTGTTTCCACTTTGCACGATTATTTTGTGTTAATTGTGCCAACTATTTTTGACAGTTTATTCTGCACTTCTTGACTTTATGAGAGTGTACATTGTTTTTATCCAGTTTATTCACTTTTATTCATCAAAGAAGTTATGCATAGTGTTAGTATTCACAGTGACTCCATTAGTGCAAAAATATTTACACTGTATTTGTTTACTAGATAGAACAACCTATTTAAACTTTGCCCCAATTCCAATATCTTTAATATTTCTTAATTGTTGATTGTAGCTTAGACTAAAGCTTAGGAGAAGGTCAGGTTTATTTGGATTTGTTGATGATGATGATGATGAGGGGGATGAAGATGATGAAGATGATGATGATGATGATGATGATGATGATGATGATGATGATGAAAGTGAAGACACAGATGAAGCAGAGTCTTGGGGGTAGGAAACAGTAAAGTTTGATACAGTCAAATCCCATGATAATTATTTAACAAATAGATTCCATGTTGCCGTGCGTCTGTTCAGTAATAGATCACAGATGATGTCAAAATGTCGTAAAAACAAAGAAGTGGCACACGAGCCGCAGGCGAGTGTGTCACTGTTGTTTTTACCACATTTTGACGTCCTCTGTGATCTGTTACTGAACAGACCCACGGCAGCATGGAATCTATTATTTTGTTTTACACAATGATCAGAAAAGAAAAAGACCGATACACTCACCTTCCTCGAACCGCTTGACCTTTTGAGGATTTGTGCTAGTTTAGGCATTTTTGAAGTCCCAAACCCAACTTTTCATCTTAGCTTCTTCTTTATCTTACTTGTGTACAGTTTCTTCGAAAAAGTTTTTCACTGTCTTTTCTTGCTCAAAGAAGAATAATAGGGAAAACATTTTGCAAAACAGCGAGTCTCTCGTAGCGAAGACACACGATGGCAACTGTTGTGAAGATTTCTTGTAGTTTAGGCATTGTCAAGTAGTTAATAGCTTTTTTGGTCTCAGTTTCTCCATTTTTCTTCTTTGTAAATAGCTCCTGCTAAACTTTTTCCGAAGCTTTCACTTGCCTCAATCCCAAATAATCTCACAAACATTTTCAAAACCGCGTGCCATGTTGAACAAACAAAGAAAACAAGTTTCCTGTGATGTCATCCATGTATCTGTACTCTAATAGATCATGGGCAACGACCAATCACAGCGCGCGTAGCATTCACATCATTGTATAAATAGATTTAGACAAGGCTTAGGGCAGAGCTCCCATTAATGAAAAAACATAACAACAAAGAAATCCAATAATTAGAGTTGAGCTTGCGATCAGTTGAAAACAAGAAACTTGTTAGTGGTAAACTTAAAAAAACATGTACCAGTAACCTTGAGGGGTCGACTGAGCCCACAGTATGGTCACGTGATACTGGTCAGCGGATACCCTGTTTTGACAGCTGCCAATTGACTACGACAAGGATGTGCAATATCGGGTGGCAGGCTACCACACTAGCTAGAAAGTGTACCATTTCACATTGGTTGCCCTGTGATGCAGTTGGGCAGGTGGACGTATGGTCACGTGACTACCAAAATTTTCTTGGATGGATAGGTATCCAAGTGCACAAAAAAAGGACTCTGAGGGGGTCATACATGTAGAAAAAGTCCATGTTAATGGGGTGTCTATAATGAGCAGGTTGGATTTACAGAAAATAGGAAGGCTTTTTCCCCTGAGACAAAGCAAACTGTCTGTAGTAATGAGATGTCCATAAAGATGGGTTTCACTGTCTTGTAACACAGTTAAGGAAGGCTGACAAGGGCTAAAATATTATTTATTTGTTTATTCATTTATTTATTCATTTTATTGTTTGAGCTTCAGGGTTGTGGCTAAAATATCAAGTTGCCTTATAAATGCAGTTATTGAATTAGTAGGAAGGGGAATTGTACAGTTGGAAGTTCTTTTGGTTCTATTTTCCTTTTGTTTTCTATGAAAGTGGCCGGAGCGCATGCTCATGATTTCCAACCTCAACACTGGTGTGTCTTGGTTCTGTCATTAACACATGAGAACAATAATGTCTTTACCAATAAATATTATGAATCATCAAATGTTAACTTTATTCATTATTGTACCAAAGGGCTATCTAAGTTAGTCTTTCTTATCCAAATTATTAGTCAAATTGTCAAATTTCTTTTTATGCAGTATCTTCTTCATTTCTGTGATCTAAGGATATAAAACCAAAAACTATTTTTCAGCATGCCCATCGCAATGACATCAACTTCTTTTGGGGGTCTTTTTGGTTTCTCTTCATCGAGGTTTGTAGTTGCCAGAAACCTTCATTTGAAAAATTAATTTTTTCTGTTCATTCATTTACCTGATTATGTCAGGGTTTATATTGTCACCTGAAGAAGGCTTGATTTAAAACCATAATTATTTTTTTCCTTCATTGATATTGTGGTTAAGTAGATCAGGGATTTCACGAATTGCAAAATAATTGATTTTAGAATGACTTTCCAACATCAGTCAGAATAAGAACTTTTCTTGTTTTATTGTATTTTTATCTTTGTACAATCCGGGTCTAAATCCACTTTTAAAAATTTTGCTGGAATTTTGTGTCTTTTGCGTTCATTATTTTTGCATTTAGTAATAGTAATTGAACAATGTTGAGAGGGAAATCAATATAAATAAGTAGTACATGCACATTTTAATAATTGTCATTTTATTGTTATTATTTGTGCGTGTACAGTCAACTCTCTGTACACTGTAGATGGACACTTTTACGACCAGCAACAAAAACAACAACATCATCAGTTTTTTCAGTTTTCAAATAATTTAAGACTATCTTACCCACAATTAGCGGAGCTATTCTACTGTTAGTGGACAGCAATAAAATAATTGTCTCCAAAAAGAAAGTAACTGTAAGTAAAGAGAAAGCAATTGGAAATAATAATAGTACATGGTAAAACTATAACAAGTACGACACTAAAATAAAACTATAGATATAAGGAAGGAAATCACTTAAACTGAATAAGGAGTTGAGGTAGGAACTGGTAATGGCACTCATATTAGCCTGTTCCAGGCGTTCAGATAGTAGAGCACGGCGGTAAGTGGGGAGCGAGTTAAGTTGTACAACGGGAAAAGGGGGAGGAGAGAATTTTTCTCCCCTGCTGTACTATCTGTACGCCTGGAACAAGCTATACTCATATCAACATACACCTCCTCAGACTCCAAAGCCTTGACCAGTTATGTATTAGAGAGATGTCCGTCTTACTGAAAGTCAAAAAATGGAGTAAAGAAAGGTAGGGACCAACTCTATGCATCCGTTTTACAGAGGTGGCCGTCTTATAGAGGTGCCTGTTAAGAGAGAGTCAACTGTACATGACATACTGTATTTCAGTAACAGCTTCTGAATGCTTGCTATGGAAAGAGGTTATGACTTATTTCATTTTTAAAACATTCCAGGCCTGCTCCCACAAGCTGTAAGCTGTGCCCTGATTACATTTCACCTTCTGTTGCATCTGGTGCCTGCGCTGCCAGCATTGGTGAAAGTACCAGTAAGTTACATGAGGTCTCTGAAATATTAACTTGGGAGTTAAGCTTTAGAAAGGTCCACAAATTAAGGAATAATAATATTGATTAATAATATTAAATAACCAAATAATTAATGAAAAATATAAATTGATATTAATGATTTAATTAATTAATCGCAACAACAACAAAATTCTTAAACCTGATTGGCTATCAGCTGTTGTAATTTCAGCATTAATAGGACATTGAAATAGGACAGTATGTGTCATGTCTAAGTAACTGGACAGTATGTGCCATTACATGTGTGCACTTGAATGGTATTTAAATTTTTTCATAGTGATTATAGGCTGAATTGAACTCCACTCAGTCCTATTTCTATTATTAATAACATTATTATAATTCTGAAAGAACAGATTATTTAATTTTGGAGGGCAACATAGAAATAACTGCCCAAAATGATGAAAGGTACTGTACCGGTGTTTAAAACAACAACAATACCAAGGTCAAAGCCAAAGTCAAAGTCATGTATATTTTCAGTAAATCCTTGGAATAATTTTGTTTACTAGGATGACTAATATGGAATGTTAACTAAATATGAGTCGTTTGATTATTTCCATTCGAAGTGAACTAGGCCATCTTGACACACATTCTTTAAGCCCAACCTCAGAGTTACTCTATGGCAGAATCTTATATTAACTGTGATTGCCTTTACATGAAATGAACAGCCAGCCTAATCGATATTTTTATTTCCTAAGGTTCTGTTAGCAGTGATATTCATAATTTTCAGTTTATATTTTGGTTCAAGACAGATCCACATGGTCTGATCCAGGTGATTTTTATTATCGTTCAACACTTAAAACAATGATACTGTTTTCCAGGTACATCAACGAGCATAACCCTCCCAGACTACACCTGTAGTCTAGATCAAATGCATGTGGTGTGTCATTGCTGTATACAGCTCATGCCATGCGACTGGCCTGACTCAATAATGGCAAGCGTACCAGCACAGAAATGTAAGCTTGAGCAACGATTAAGGCATGGCAAGTTCTGTGTATTTAAGTTAATCAGTTCAATTTTAAACTAGTATCTTTAGCGAGTCATTTGTTCTCCATCATCCTAGATACTCTAAGAGAATTCCTAAATATTTGACCTAGCAACCTCTGCATTGGTAGACCAAGCCCAAACTATGGTGAAAGATAATAGGGAGTTTACGCAATGACATTTTGGGACATTTGGGCAAATCATCTCTTTAAGAGTAAAGACACTTAGCAATGCTTAGTCATGTCAAATCATATTAAAAGAGAAAAAGGCTTATTTCCGGTTGACATGCAATGCTAAAAAACATTGCTGCTTAAACTCCCTGTTAGACTACGAGTAGACTACGAGTAGTAGAGCGAGCGAAACGTGAGCGCGCGTGAAAATCACCCCACGCGAGAAAAGGCAACACGCGGCTCGCGTGGGGTGATTTTCACGCGCGCTCGCGTTTCGCTTGCTCTACTCATGATCCCTGAGGAAAAATGGGGGACTACTCGTAGTCCAACTCCCTGTTGACCAGTGCTGAGGAGTAAGAGGTTTTCTTTACACTTACATGTATCAAAAAGTAATGGGCTCCTGGTATCATCCATTGCACTCCCGTCTCTGCCCCATCCTGGACATCGCCTTGTTTGAGAGAGGCATGTCTTATTGCAATACCTTACACTGTAAGCCAGAATGTTTGAATATTATTCTTTATTTTTATACAGTATTTTCTTTTTTTTTTCAATTTCGTCAGGTGAAATATGTTCAAAACATTATTGTCATCTTTTATTTGGTTGCCGCAAGGCTGGATGTCTAGGATGCCTCAATAAATTTAAAGGTACACTGATGTATCCTCAATGTTGGTTTCAAATTTCCTGTTTTTTGGTACGATTTATTATAAAAAAAACCATTTTAGTTCACGTTAAAATAAGAAAACATTGAGGGTCTCTCTCTGTCTCTCTCTCTCTCTCCCTTGGCCTTTCCTTAGAGGAGGGGAGGGGTGGGAGTTGAAGGTACAGCTTTTTTTAAAAACACTTCTGGCTAAAACAGTTGTCATAGTCCTTCATGAAAAAGTGCGCTGTCCATACAGTGGCCGATTTTTAAATTGGGTTATTCAAACTGTCCACATTAAATTTGTACCATTTGTATCAGCTATGTAGATAGGTGGTTCTAATTTTTGGGATTTTTTCAGCCATCCGCAAAAATAAGTGCCCGCAAATAAAAACTACCACAAACATTTTTCCATTTTTCCCACAAAAATGTACTCCAGTGTAATTCGCTACACAAAAATACAGTACTAAGAAATCGTCTGTTAGATTACAACGTGCCGCTTTCGTTCAGAAACAAAGCGGTTTGCAATGAAATACTGGTTTTACATAGTACAAGGTACGCACACAGTAGGTTTGTTTAAAAATATGTTTTTATATGGCACGCACTCAGTGAAAAACGAAATATTATCAATACTTAACCTGAGATCAGGCTCTATTTTCGTTTCGCTTTGAAAATTACATTCCGGCGGGCAAGGCGAAACGAAAAGACAGCCCCAATTTTAGTGGTAACCGTTAGAGAGAATGTATGAGAACCGCTAAAATTGGGCCTGATCTCAGGTTAATCAATACTGGGTAATGGGTACTTTCTGAAAATTGAAAAATTAATTCCGAGCAAGAAAAACCAATCTGTCCTCATCGCAAAAGTTAGTTCCCGCAAAACACAAAAAATCGCTAATCCGCAAAAATAAACTCCCGCAAAGATTTCGTGCCACACGGTATATATTATACTTTGTCCTGTTATTTTTGAAGATGCATTTTGCTTTACATGTACCAATGTTGGTCAATGTAGAACTGTTTCATTCAGATTGTGACCTTTCAATATGTGCTCGTTTGCTTAATTTATGAGTGGTGAATTCCACTGAGAAAAACACGCTACCTTCGTTGAAAATTAAAGCAAAGCATTCTATTTAATAGAGTTGAAGAGTAAATGAGTTTATTGGGTATAGAGGGCATTACTTCGAGTGGATACGTTTGAAGCCCACAGTTTTATGTTAGCACCTTAATCTTAAGCAAAACTGAGGCCTCAAAAAAAGACAATTAAAAATGTTTTTCAATGACGGTAACGAGAACAAAGGAATAAACTGAATAAGCAAAACAACAACTTTCCACATGCGGACTACTTTTTGTTCATTTCTTAGTTTGCCGTCACTGTACGACTATGGTGTAAAAATGCCGAATTTCTCATTTTACGGAAGATGTAGATATGGAACAACGAATTTGTTTTCTGTCCGATCTTGGATATGGTTCTTAGGAAGTGAACTCCAGGAGAGATCGCTTACTTTTGTAATAATTGTGGTGAAGATTACATGTTGAAGAACGCGAATTCACTTTTTAAGCGACGCTTTTACCCGCGTCGCCGCCGTGGTATCTTAACAACTACCTGTGATCTCAACGTGTGCACGGGTTTCTTCTCCCCACCCCTGTCTGATCTGCTGGTGGCTTTGTCTTAACATTACAACAGATTTTATTCCTGCACGAGCAAATGTTTTATTATTTTAATTTCAAATTCGTTTCAGACTTCAAGGTTGGAGAAGCCAATCTTTCATCATTGATAAACAACAACCCTTATGAATCCAAAATACTAAAGGTATGAATAGATTTCATTCGGGTTTACATTCTAGTAGTTTATATATTAGTGATTAAAAGTTATTATTATTTAGATCGTTGCCATCAAAAATTGGTTTGGATAATATAACATAACATTTCACAAAGTTTTTTTCTAGATTCTTGACCCTTCAGGAATCTTAATACAGGGCTGTTTCCTAAGGCCCGGGGATCCGGTGATTTCCCCCGGCTACTGCATGTGAGCGTTATCCCTGGATACTTTCGTAGGAAAACAATGACAATAGACCCCAGAGAAGTTTCTAGCTTTTCAGTTCCCCGCCTACATGTACTTAATGCATATACCCGGCAAGGCCAAGTCTTACTGTCATCCCTGTTAATTAGTGGTTTAGTTTAACAAGCTCTAGGAGTATTTCAGAAATTTGATTCAAATTAGTTTGGAAGATAGGGCTTTGCTTCTTGTGCCCTCCCATAAGCGATTACCTCCCTTTAGCGACCATCTATCCAAAACACTATTTTTCCCAGTGAAAACCCTATAATAAGAACCTCTCGGAAGCGAGGGCGACCACTTTTGGTGGTGGTGGTTTTGTAATTTTTCATCATTTTTAACCTCTTATTAACGACCATTTGACGCACTATGGTTTGCAGTATGTACTACACTACTAAGAGTATACGAAGAGCTTTTAACCATAACATTGAACTACTCGTATCTTGACGTAATCAATACTATACCAAAAAGTTGATGTCTCGGGACCTCTTCTTGAAAAAGATTCTTGAAGTTTGTTTCCGTGTGGAGCAAGGGTAGCGGAGTGGTGAGAGCACTCGCCTCCCACTAGGGGTGTAACGATTCATATTCCTTGCGATTCAATATTATTCAATTCGATTTCGATTATTGTCTTTCGATTTCGATTATTTCGATTCTATTATGTAAATGTTTCTTAATTCTTATAACGTAACGTGTAATGTTAACAACATGCACCCCTAACCCTCAATTTGAGAATAGTAACAGGGACAGGAGGATTCACAGTCGCTTGGTTCGTCGCCATGTTTGAGAACCTGACAAAGATGGTTTGCGTTATTTGGAAATTCTCAAGGGGTGGTTGAAGAACAGCATTTTTACCAGGCAACATAAAATGGCGCACGAATTGCTATCGTCTTTGCTCGTCAATCAAAAACGCACATTTTAATGAGTTCTGGATTCTGATTTTACAATATAATAACTCACTGGGGGCACCCTGGAAAAGGTATGCAAAAATCGAAGCAAAATCGAAATGTGGAAGCAAAGAATCGTGAATCGAACCGAACGGTCATAATCGCGATTAATTGAGAATTCGAATAATCGTTACACCACTACCTCGTACCAATGTGGCCAGGGTTCGAATCCCGACGTCGACGCCATATGTGGGTTGAGTTTGTTGTTGGTTCTCTTCTTTGCTCCGTGAGGTTCAGTTTTCCCCGGGTACTCGGGTTTTCCCTTCTCCTCAAAAACCAATACTTTTAAATTCCAATTCGATCTGGAACGCACGGACATATTTAAACGAGTTCATAACAACTTCTAACTGCTTCGTGGGCAAACAAATTACAATTTACATTTTTTTAATTCTGGTAATCAACCACCTCCCGTAAGCGACCACTAAATATTTTTATTTTGGGTGGTCGCTTCAGAGGGTTTGTTTGTACTAACCATGTGCTACATGCTCATCACTGTTCAAGTAAAAAAATGTTATTTTACTTTTGTGTCAACAGGATTATCTGACAGAGCAAAGCCTGAGCAAAGAAGACTTGATACAAAAATGCCTTCAAAAGTTGGATGCTAAAGAGTACTCCACCATTGGTAAAATAACATTCACTTCATCTTGGGAGACACCTGTTAAACGGTGCCTGAGTTAGAAATGATAACAGCGGCTATGTCAGGCTGTTTGTTGCCTTTTTGCCCAGTTAAAATGTTTCTTCGCGTCAGTTGGGTAGCTAAAATAGTTTTGTTATTTGAGCCTATATTTAGGTACTAAAACTGTTTCCTGTCGACTGTTGCTTTCTATGGCAAGAATGGTAATGGATTGAAACTTTAAAAAAATTGGGCAAATTTTATCAAGTTTTAATGCCATGTCTACAAAAATCACTACATGCAAACTCCAACAGCAGACAGTGTAAATATGACTCTTAACAGGAGATTTTTGGTTGTATGCTCGGTTTTTAGATGGGGCGTCCCACAATCTAACATCCTCCACAGTTCTCTGCTACAGATGTGCACTTCGTAACCTACAGGAGCTCGCGTACCAGTTTCGCCGTGACATTCCGAGGGATCAGTTACCCGGTGAGTCTAAACTGCCTTAAAGAGATTATATTTGCGGAACAAACGAACATCTTCTCTCCAGCCAAACACTAAATTTTTTACCCCCGTTTTCAGACCTTCATTATTCGAGCCCATTTGCCTTTCGCTAGCCTGATAGCAAACTCTGTTCCTTGGCGCTCAGGTTAGGGGGGGGGGGGAATGATAGCCTGTGTAGCCCCCTCCCTTGAGGAAAAAATCGATTTTTCCTGAGGGGAGGGGGTTCTGTACACAGGCTAGAAAGAGGAGGGATATTGCGCCCGCCTAGATGTATTTCGCTATACTATATTCCGAAACATGTTTGGAATTGTAAAAGTTTGTTTCTAAACGGGGCCCTTGAAAACGTTTTTAAAATTTCTTTTTTGTCATTCTACTTTAGTTTTGGAAAGTTCTTGGAAGTTTATACTAGATGAATACAGGAATCGATTATATTAACTTATAGAATATAGCGAGGTTGCTAAATGTGGCTTAAACGGATTTCAGTGACTTTTGAACGCAAAAATTGCTGCAGCATAAGCATTTTCCTCTTGTATGAAAACCAGGTAGTTACCAGGTGAGTCATTGCCTGTCTGTTAATTTGCAGATGCTGTGAATTCCCGTGTCGATTGCTACTGGGGAAAAAACTGTCGAACACAAAAGACAAAGCCCCTTCACGCCAGGTAAATCAACAGGAATTGCAAAACACCAGAGTAATACCTCATTCCAAAAACAAAAGTGGTGGCAATATTTGCCATCGCTGTTTTACGGCGTAACTAGGGAATTTAAGATATCACGACAACAACGAGAACGTCTGAAAGCAATCGAGGATTAGCAAAACAACAACTTTGCATGTGCAGCACACTTCTTCGTACACTTTTCTTTGCCTTCAGTGAACGACCACTAGGTGGAAGTGTTCTCTCTTAAGATCGTGCTTTGGCCATCTTACTGCAAACGGCAAACCGATGTTTGTCATTAGCGGTTTCACATTATCCGTCTGCCAATATTTGGGAAAGATTCGGGGCTGGTAGCTCGCGGCTGTCATATTTGTTTCAATCACCAAAAGAATTCTAAAAAGTAGTATTTGCTATTTGTATTCACGACTACGAGACGGTAATTGGTGTGCAGTTCGAAATGTGAGCCTGAGCGTTTATTGCCGTCCGAACAACATAAAAAGTTCATCATCAATTTAACTAAAGAATGATATACAAATATTCCTAAATAAAGTCACTCAGGCTAAACTAGTCACGTATGCCGCCTGATACGAAGACCCAAAAACCCACTGGGAAAGATAGAGGATATTTGCCTAGTCCCTAGGCTTCATTTTTCCTCGCGACCAAAGCGTTTCGGGTCACGTGGTCCATGTGAAAATGTTTCCCGCCCGTTCGCCTCGGATACGTCACCGAAACGAATTGACCGAGAGGGACTGGGAAAACGCCGTACAGAGACTAGGCAAAGAGAATATTACATGGCCGCGCGGGGATACGAATTTTATCTTCAAGTGCTGAAAGTACGAGTGAGAGTGGGATCGAGTGATCTCCAACGAGTGAGAGATCTTGTTTGAACTGATCGTTTCCATCCTGATTAGGGCAAAGTTTTAAAGAGAGTTTTCGAGGTGGTAACCTTTTTAAGAACTTAGCAATATTTTTAATGAATAAAAAAACAATTATTGTGTTCGGCTTTTGTATGATGTGAAGAATTATCCAGATCTTGGAGGCTGCTATCCACTTCGCCCTTCAACCTCGGTGGATAACATGCTCCTGAGTTGCAGAATTCTTAACATCATACAAAAGCCGAATTCAATAATCGTTAAATGTATTCAAGAAGAAGGTCGAAAAGGCACCCTAAAGCCATGTAAGTTAAACGAGGAAAAGTTTAAACGGAAACACTTCAACGGAGATTTATGAAATCGTCACTCAACAGAGGGCGAGACGTCAGGAGCGACTTGGTATAGAAACTTTGGGTTGGCGTTGATGTACCGAACGGGTACCGAACCAAAGCTGTTAGGAACCAGATCAGCCACGAAAGCGATGCGATAGAGGTATTCGTAATAGCACCCTACGCTTCCATGTAATATTAAGCTTGGATATGAGAACCTGGTACTGTCGTGTTAAACAAAGTCAGTTATTTCTTTATTGCAGTCGCTTCAACCACATATGTGAACAGACGCGATTTACATCGTAGCCACTGCTGATTTGTTATGAAGACCTTTGGATCATAATCTCACCTCTCTCTGTAACGTGGAAAGTCATTAATTTTATCAACAATAAAATTCTTCCAATAATACCTTACCTAGTTTTTCAGGTCATGTTGTTTGGACCCCCCTTATTAGTCTTTGGACAGCTAGTATTCGTTTAGTTCGTTGTTGTGTTAGTTTGAAGGACAG